ACCCAGCACTCCAAGTAGAGCATCTTAAAATATGAGGTTAGTCTGCCTAGGTCTGAATCACAGGTATGTAATGTCACTGCTGGGTGATAGAGGTCATACTGTATTCTCTGTGTGTGTGTGTGTGCCAGGCGGTATATACTAAACACATACTCTTCCACTGAGGTACATCTCCAGCCTCTAACTTAGCTACTTTGAGTATCTATGTGCCAGGGACACAATGAGGAGCCAAGAAGACCCACTGCTGCCCGCTCAGAGTTCTAATTGAAGAGCTAGCTGTTAATCAAATAATCCCATAGATAACAGGGAAAGTCCAATACAGTGCAGTACTGTGGAACAGTGTCTGTTGCTGTATGAGTGTGTGTGAGAGACAAGGAGATGAGGGAAGATATCCTGAAAGAAATCATCACAGAGCTGAGCTGCCTTCAGAGAGGAAGAGAAAACCGTCTCCATTATAAGAAGCAGCATGTGCAAAAGACCTGTGGCAAGAAAAAAGAAGGAAAGTATAGATAGATAGAATCACGTGTGAACTGAGGTAAGCGGCAGCTGCACTGGTGCATTGAGGGCTATGGTTTGCGGGTAGAGCTCTCTGCTGAGTGACTGCTATCCTTTCTCCCCTTACTGGGGACAGGTGAAAGAGAGAGTGGGTGTGGCCTTGGAGGGACCCAGAAAATGAGATGCTTCACTTCTTTCTTCCTCCTCCTCCTCCTCCTTCTTTTTTGTTGTTGGTTGTGGGGCTTGAACTCTGGGCCTGGGCACTGTCCCTCAGCTCTTCAGCTCAAGGCTAGCATTTGAGCCACAGCACCACTTCCGCTTTTCTGAGTGGTTTATTGGAGATAAGAGTCTCACAGCCTTTCATGATCTTCAGATCTCAGCCTCCAGAGTAGCTAGGATTACAACCATGCCCAGCTTAGAGATGCTTCACTTATTATCTGTATACTGGGGCCATACCAACACCCGCTTCAAACAGTTGTGAGAATTACATTATATTGGATGCAGAAGTGCTTAGAACAGTGTCTGGTTCACAGTAAATTAAACTGTAATTATTTAATAACATCAGACTGCATACAAACTTCATAACAGCAAGGACCCAGATTCTTCCCATTATCATGTAGAAGACATGACTTACTTTTATGAGTGGGGTTTTTTTTTGGGGGGGTGGGGTGCCAGTCCTAGGGCTTGAACTCAGGGCCTCAACAAAATCATGGAGCTGGGCGCTGGTGGCTCATGCTTGTAATCTTAGCTACTGAGGAGGCTGAGATCTGAGGATCACAGTTCAAAGCCAGCCCGGGCAGAAAAGTCCGTGAGACTCTTATCTCCAATTAACCACTAGAAAACCAGAAGTGGTGCTGTGGCTCAAGCAGTAGAGTGCTTGCCTTGAGCTGAAGAGCCCAGGGATAGTGCCCAAGCCCAGAGTTCAAGCCCCACCACCGACCAAAAAAAAAAAAAAGTCTAATGGGCTTACCTTCCCTGGCTGGCTTCAAACCAAGAACCTCAGATCTCAGCCTCCAATTGGGGTAGAGTGCTAGCCTTGAGCAAAAAAAGAAGCTCAGGAACAGTGCCCAGGCCCTGAGTTCAAGCCCTAGGACTGGCAAAAAAAAAAAAAAATATATATATATATATATAATATATATATACATACATACATACTGAATTACATGAAATCATCAGTCCTCACTATATATCTACAAGATTGAGATAATTCCCATTTTGCAGACAGGAACTGAGCTTAAAGGCTTGAGTGTTAAGGAGGTAGCAAAGCTGGGATCCATATCTATATTTGTTGTATTCCAAAGTCCTTTGTACTCAAAACTCAGTTCGGGGTCTGTGGATGTGGTTTAAGTAGTAGAAACCTTATCTTTGCCCACCAAGTGTGGGGATCTGAGTTCAATCCCTAGAACTGCAAAACCAAAATACTCAGCTCAGGTTATAGTTCAAGTCCTTCTTTGGGGAAGTCATCTCCTTTGATACACACATGTGTGTGCCAGTCCTGAGGCTTGAACTCAGTGCCTAGGCTTTTTTTGCTCAATGCTGGCACTTTACCAGTCGAGCCACAGCTTCACTTCTGGCTTTTTTTTCATAGTTTTATTGGAGATAAGAGTCCCACAGACTTTCCTGCTGGGGCTGACTTTGAACTACAATCTTCAGATTTCAGCCTCCTGAGTAGCCAGGATAACAGGCATGAGCCACCAGCATCCAGCTCCTTTTATTAAAAAAAAAAAAAAATTGTGTGGTTTTTTTTTTTTTTTGGGGTGGGGGGATCGGTCGTGGGATCTGAACTCTAGGCCTGGGAGCTGTCCCTCAGCTCTTCAGCACAAGTCTAGCACTCTACCACGTGAGCCACAGCACCACTTCTGGCTTTTTCTGCTTATGTGGTGATGAGGAATCGAATCTAGGCCTCGTGAATGCAAGGCAAGCACTCTACCACTGAGCCACCTTCCCAACCCCTATCTTTTTTTGGGGGGCATCCAGTCGTAGGGCCTGAACGCTGGGCCTGAGTGCTGTCCCTCAGCTCTTCAGCTCAAGGCTAGCGCTCTACCACTTGAGCCACAGCGCCACTTCTGGCTTTTTTCTTTTTGCTTATGTGGTGCTAGGGAATCGAACCCAGGGCCTCATGCATGCAAGGCAAGAGCTCTACCTCTGAGCCACCTTCCCAGCCCACTTTTTTTTTTTTTTTTTTTGTAATAAAAAAATAATTTGTTGGGTGCTGGTGGTTCATGCCTATAATCCTAGCTACTTGGAAGGCTGAGATCTAAGGATCACAGTCTGACATCAGCCCAGGAAGGAAAGTCTGTGAGAGAGACTCTTTTTTTTTTTTTTGGTCCTGGGCTCTGTCCCTGAGCCTCTCTTGCTCAAGGCTAGCGCTGTACCACTTGACCCACAGTGCCACTTCCAACCTTTTCTGTTTATGTGGTACTGAAGAATTGAACACAGGGCTTCATACATGCTAGGCAAGCACTCTACCACTAAGCCTCTGTGAGATTCTTTTTTTTTTTTTCCCCAGGGCTGAGGACCAAACTCAGGGCCTTGCGTGTGCCGGCTGGGTGCCCTTCTGCTGGGCTAAACCCCCAGCCCTGTGAGATTCTTTATTTCCAATTAACCACCAAAAAGCCAGAAGAGGAGCTGTGGCTCAAGTGGTAGAGGACTGGACCTGAGCACAAACGCTCCAGAGACAGCACCTAGGCCCCGAGTTCAAGCCCCAGGACGAACACCAAAAACAAATAAAAAATATTTTATTTTCTTTTTTCCCGAGAAAAGGCTTTGCTATGTATCCTAGGCTGGCCTCAAATTCTTGATCATCTTGCTTTTGACTCCTGAGTTAAATCTATTTTTATTTGCATTTATTTATTGGCACTGAGGATTAAACCAAGGACCCCACACATGCTAAGCAAGTGCTTTTTTTTTTTTGCCGGTCGTGGGGCCTGAACTCTGGCCTAGGCACTGTCCCTCAACTCTTCAGCTCAAGGCTAGTGCTCTAGCTCTAGAGCCACAGTGCCATTTCCAGCTTTTTCTGCTTATGTGGTGCTGAGTAAATGAACCCAGGGCCTCAAGCATACAAGGCAAGCACTCTACCACTGAGCCACCTTCCCAGCCCCAGCAAGTGCTCTTTTATTGAGCCTAAGCCCCCAAGCTTAATTAAGCCCCTGTTATAATCCCCCCCCCCCCCCCCCCCCCCCCCCGCCCCGTTCTGGGGCTTGAACTCAGGGTCTAGGCACTGTCCCTGAGCTTCTTTTGCTCAAGGTTAGCACTTTTCCACTTGAGCCACAGCACCACTTCTGGCTTTTTCTGTGTAGGTGGTACTGAGGAATGGAACCCGGGCTTCATGCATGCTAGGCAAGCACTAAGCCACATTCCCAGCCTTCATTATGATTTTCTTTTAAGATCCTGCTTTGTGACCTTGGGTAAGTCACTTTATCGTTCAGATCCTGTTTTATGATTTGTAAATTAGGTAGTGGTAAGGATTCAAGGAACTGACTGGATAGAGGGCGTAGCTCAGGGCTGCAAAGAATTCTTAGGAAGCAAAGGCCTTGGATTCCATGCCTAGCATCAAAACAAAAACAAAACAAAACAAAAAAGGAAATCCGCACGCATGTTGGTGGCGCCCAGTTTACAGGAGGCTTTGGATAAATATTCCTTCCCATCCTCCTCCTTAGAGCAGCTTTGTAAAGAACTGACCAGTCGTCTGCGTGTGAAACCAGCAAGCTCCCTCTCCTGAGCCCTTACCTGAGAAGAAATCCCACCACACCTGGACCCCAGACCTCTTTAAGTGGAGGCTGAGTGTCGTCAGGGGGAACCCCTCTCCTCGGCCGTTTACTCCAAATCCCAGCAAGTCTGGAGAAGCCATGATCCTGCGGTCCTCACTACCACAGGAGTGCTGGGCCCATCGCTCAGGAGATTCCAGACCTGGCTTGAAAAGAGGGCCCTCCAAAGCCAGGCACAGCACACAGGGCGCAGAATGTGTGCTAAGAAATCACCCCCAGGGCGGTGTGGGTCGGGACGGCGGTGGGACCGGGGCGTGATCACCTGGGGAGCCCAGTGAGGGCTTCGCCGCTGGGCAGGAGCCGGTAGAAGGGATCTCCAGGGAGGCGAAGACTCGGGGACCGCAGGGCCCGGGTTCCTCCCAAGCCTGCGCCGGGATCTGACCCAGGACACCCTGCGTGCTTGTAGGCGGGCTGGGAAGCCTCTCCCGCGGGAGGGAGAAGGAACGTTCGGGTTGGAATTCCAAGGGAGCCTAGAACTGGAGAAGGGTGGCTCCGGCGCGACCCGCGCCAGGGACCCCGGCCAGGGAGGTGTGGGCCAGCGGGGGCTTCGTGGCGGGGCCGAGCGCGGGCGAGGGGGCTCGCGGTGCAGGCGGGCCCGGGCTCCGGACGCGGCGGGGGGCGGGGGTCCGCGCCGGGAATGCCGCGCCGCGGGGGCTGGGGGCGGGGCTTCCGCGGTCCCGCCCCCAGCCCAGGTAGCCAATGGGTGCGGCGGCGCGGGGTGACGGAGGGAGCCGGAGTGCGAGTGCCGCGGAGGCTGCGGCGGCGGACGGCCCAGCTTGAGCTCGAGGGTCTTGGGGGCGCGCCGGGATCGGGGTGCAGAGCCTGGGAGCCCCCCGAGCCGGGAGGCAGCGCAGCCGAGGCCGCCGGAGGAGCGCGGGCGGCCCGGCGGCGGCGCGATGCCGCTCGCCCAGCTCAAGGAGCCCTGGCCGCATATGGAGCTGGTGCCGCTGGACCCGGAGGTGAGTGCGCGGGGCGGGGGGGACGGGCGCCCGCGGCCGGCGAGCCCGGATCCGCACAGGGGCGGGGCGGCGCGGGCGCGCCGCGGCAGCCCTGCGAGTGCCCTCGGTGCTCCTGCCACACTGCCCGGCTCCACCCCCCTGTGCTCCGGGTGTGCGTGTGCACGGGACAGTTCCGCCCAGCCCCGAGTACCTCCGTGCTCGTGCCGGGAGAGGGGACCCCCCCGGACGCCGAGATCCGGCCCCTTCACTCCACACCTTTAGGACCTGACTCGCCTGGCATCTTTTGGAAGCTGTCATAGATCCTCCATCCGTGCAGACAGGCCAGGCTTGGCTCAGATGTCTGGAATTCTAGTAGGGACAAGGATCATAGGACACCCTCCCACGCTGTCCCAGCCCTCTGCCCCCCCACCCCCGAGATAACCTCGCTTCCTCACTGCTGACCCTTAGCGGGAGCTGCCCCTCTAGATCCCTGGCAGTTGTGGAATGTGAGATGACACCACCCCTGTGGAGCTAAGACTCCTAGTTTCCTTTGCCCTACCTATGGCTAGCGCTAGAGGACACCTAGTATCCCCTGCCCCAGGCTATGCTGAAGAGAGTGGCCCCAAAGCCCGCAGACCTTTTGAAGATTAGTTCTGGTGGGAGGACACCTTGTGTTTGCCTCCCTCTCTGTCTCCCCTCCTATAGTGAGGGCTGGACCCCTGGGGAGTGTGGCCTCAGCCACTTCATTTCTCCCAGAGGCAGCTCCTGTCTTCCTCTGGGGATTCTGTAGTGAAAGGCCCTGAGCAGGTAGAAGGTCAGTTTTTCCAGTGCCCTGTGACCCCAGGGTCAAGGTCAAGTCATGAATTGGCAGGTTGAAAACTTTCCCCAGGCCTCATCCTGGGAAGGTAGCTGGTGAACCTATCCTGAAGGGAAGCTGTTGGGGGCAAGGGGAGTAGAAAGAGGCGGGCACCTCATTGACCCTGGTGCCTAGGTGATGTTTCTCCTGCTTGAGCTCCTGGCCTTTGCCTCTGTCCTCTCTTCTGTTCTGCCACAGGTGGAGATGGGTGGCATGAATACCTAGTTTGCCAGCACCTGGGGTGTGCTGCCCCTTTAAAGGGATGGCCAAGACTGGCTATTGTAGGGTGGGCGCGGTAGGATTAGGTAACCAACCTGAAGGCACAATTTGGAGTAAATTGCTCTGGGATTCTTGCCATGGGGTTTTTACAGGCCTTACATGACTGCTCAGAGGTTCTCTCGCTGACTCACCCTTTTAGGTGAGGAACACTGCCCTCTGCAGCCCCTCCTCACCACCCCCCTCCCCAGCACATATACACCAAGACTGGGTGCAAGGCCTGGGGGTGGCGGCAGGAGGCTCAGAAGTGTCTTCCTTTGCCCAGGCATGCTTCTGCGACCTAGGCATCGAGAAGAGCCTAGGGATGAGAATGTCTAGGGAGGGATTTTGCTCTGTGCTTCCCCTCGGTTTCCCTAGTAAGAGTAGACAGACACCCAGAAGTTCCTTCATTCTCCGGGACACTACTTCCTGCTTCCCTTTGTGAAATCCTGAGGGGCCAGCCTTACCAGGGGCCAGGTTAAACCGGAAACTCATCCCAGTTTGAGTAGAGGACACCTGAATTCTGTAAGAAGAGACTGGTGAGTTCCAGAGTAGGGGGAAGATTTTTCTAGGAGCTTTACTTGGGAAGTGCTGTGTGATCCTTAGGCAGTCCTCAGCCTGTCTGGGCTTGTGCTAACTTTTAGTTCTGTTCCTTGGGCCTGGGAGGGTGCTGAACTTGGGTCCTGCTGTCTATGTCCCTTCCTCCCTTCTGTGGAGGTGCCAGGGACTGGGTGGTATTGTTTGGGTAACAGGAGACTTGGGGCAGCCAGGGTTCGGGTTGGGCTATTCTCACTGGAGAACAGGGCCTTGCTGTTCTTAGCCCAGGTGACATGTAAGTGATACAGCAGCCTGACCTGCAGGTACAGGCGCCATCGCCGGAGGCTCCTGGCTAGGAAGGAGGCAGGTGAGGTACTGGCAAGGACATTTGGCAGAGGCCTGGGATCTGTACTCCTCTGTACTGCGATGATACTGAAAATAGGCTGCTGGGAGGCAGGGCCTGGCCTAGGGTGTGGCCCAGGTGAAGTAAACCCATTGCAAGTGTGGGTGAGGATTCTGCTTCTACCTAGGCTTTCCCTGGCCTTGTCCCCAGGCTTGGTCCTGTCACACAGCTCTACTGTCTGCCATCCACCTCACTGCACCTTCACCTATGGTGTGTGTGTGTGTGTGTGTGTGTGTGTGTGTGTGTGCACATACACGCGCGCATGCGCCTGTGCACTGCACTGGGTCTTGAACTCAGGGTTGGGCATTTATAACTGTATTTTTTTTTGTCTTTTCTTTTTTGGTACTTGGGATCGAACCCAGGACGTTGCACTTGCTAGGCAAGCGCTTTGCCACTGAGCTACATCCCAGCCCAGGGTTGGGCATTTATTATTCCTTGGTTTTGTTGCTCAAGGGTGGCACTTTACCACTTGAGCCACAGCTCTACTTCTGGCTTTTTGGTGGATCATTGGAGTTATAAGAGTCTCAATTTGCTAGGCTCCGGTGGCTCATGCCTATAATCCTAGCTACTTAGGAGGCTGAGATCTGAGGATTGAGGTTCAAAGCCAGCCCGGGCAATGTCCTTCAGACTATCTCCAGTTAACTACCAGAAAACCAGAAGTGGCACTGTGGCTCAAGTGGTAGAGTGCTCACCTTGAGCTGAAGAGCTGAGGGACAGTATCCAGGCCCAGAGTTGAAGCCTCATGACTGGAAAAAAAAAAAAAAAGAATCTCAAATTTGTCTGCCCACGCTTGATTCAAACCTTGATCCTCAGATCTCAGTCTCTTGGGTAGCTAGGATTATAGATTTGAGCCAACAGCACCTAGCTCTGTTACTTTAATTCTCACAACTTCTTTTTTTTTTTTTTTTGGTCCGGTCATGGGGACTAAACTCTGGACCTGGGTGCTGTCCCTCAGCTCTTCAGCTCAAGGCTAGCGCTCTACCACTTGAGCCACAGCACCACTTCCGGCTTTTATTCTTTTTGCTTATGTGGTGCTGAGGAATTGAACCCAGGGCCTCATGCATGCAAGGCAAGCGCTCTATCACTGAGCCACCTTCCCAGCCCTCTCACAACAACTTCTAAAGATAGGGATTATTACTCCCATTTTCAGATGAGAAAATTCAGCTTAGAGGACTGGCATGTTTATTCATGTCAGAGCCAGGATTAGAACCTGGATTTCTTACTATCTTCCACCCAAACAAGGAAGCTCCCTGATGGGCATAGACTAGGTTCAAATTGGTCCAGGTGGAAGGTACTCTAAGTGTAGCTCTGGATGTTGGCAGACTCTTCATCTTGCAGGGCTCTTGTCCAGCCTTTGCTGAGGGCTGGCAGTGCCCTGGCACCAGGCCCCCAGCCGGGCACAGGGCTGCCAGTGCTGGGCTTAGAACCCAGTTCCTGGGGCTGCTTCCTGCCTGTGTGACACGTGCTGCCTTTCTCCATCTGCTCTGCTGCTCAGCTTTTGCAGCTGCTGTCCTGGACCCCTCTTCTCAACATGGAGCTAACCCCCGAAAAGGGGGACAGTAGTTTCAGGGGTTCTGGGAAGCTGTCCTCATGAGTAGTACTGTATCAGGTTTTTTAGTTTTTGCCAGTCTAAGGATTGAACACAGGGCTTTGCACTGCATACTTAGGCATGTACTCTACCTCCGAACTATATCTTAAGCTATGTCCACAGCCCTAAACATTTTTTTTTTTGCAGGGGGGGGGTCAGTCGTGGGGCCTGAACTCTGGGCCTGGGTGCTATCCCTCAGGTCTTTAGCTCAAGGCTAGTGCTCTACCACTTGAAGCCACAGTGCCACTTCTGGCCTTTTCTACTTATGTGGTGCTGAGGAATTGAACCCAGGGCCTCATACATGCAAGGCAAGCAGTACCACTGAGCCACCTTCCCAGCCCCAGCCCTAAACATTTTTAGAAAAGGACTTCATTCTGCAAGGTCAGCACTTCTGACCCATTCATTTATTCATTCGTTCACTCAACACTTACTGGATGAATATTATTCTAAGCAATACAGTGCAGCTGCTAGGAAGACAGACTTGCCTTTATAGTTCCAGAGAGGAAACTGAGGCTCTGCAGTGTAATGTGACAGACCCAAGGCCAAAGCAAATGCCTGGCAGAGCCTCAGTTAGTGGCTGTGTCTTTATGGTTGCACCCTCAAATATGAGTTCTTCCTTCCATTAAACCTGAAGGAAATATGACCCTTAACCTCTTGGTACTCAGGCTCTTCTGTAGTCCTCTCGGCTCCCTTCCGTCCTTTCTCCATGCTGCCCACTCTCCTCATAAGAGAGTTGGTACATCAGCTGTTAGAGGTGTGGGGCTCTGTGAAGATGGCACCCAGGCCAGTGATCCTGCCAAACAGGAACTGGGGCAGGGACCCCTGAATCATCCAGGCTCAACAGACAGGCACCTCTGGGTACACACACCTCTTCCTTTCCCTCAACAGGGATCTAAGCTTGCAGCCACATGACTAGTTATGGTCCCATGGCTGCTACCTGCTAGCTGAGGGACCTCAGGTGACTCCCTTAAGTGAAGATGGGAGGGAGTAACAGAATATGCTCTGTCCTTCTGGCGGTCTTCGCTGGGTTGACTTTTTACTTTATTTTACTTTTTATTTATTTTATTTTATTTTTTTGGTCATGGGGCTTGAACTCTGGGCTTGGGTGCTGTCCTTGAGCTCTTTAGCTCAAAGCCAGCACTGTAGCGCTTGAGCTACAGTGTCACTCTGGTTTTCTGGTGGTTTATTGGAGGTAAGTGTCTCATGGACTTTCCTGCCCTGGCTGACTTTGAACCTTGATCCTTAGATCTCAGCCTCCTGAGTAGTTAGGATTGATTACAGGTGTGAGCCACTGGCTCCCAGCTTTTTAATTTTTTTTTTTCATGCCAGTCCTCAGGGAACGCAGGGCCTGGGCACGTCCCTAAGCTGCTTTTTTTGCATTCTACCACTGGAGCCTCAGTACCACTTCTGGCTTTTTCTGTGTATGTGGTACTGAGGAATCGAATCTAGGGCTTCATGCATGCTAGGCAAGCACTCTACCACTGAGCCACATTCTCAGCCATGGCAAGGCTCTTGTTTAAGTCACTTTAGGGTGTGAAACAAATGGCTCTAATCAAGGCCTCAGTTCAGTAGGTTTAGCTAAAAAACCAGGACCCAGTAACAATAATGGCTACTATTTGTAGGCCAGTTAGAGTCCGTATGTTTATGGGCATTCTTTAGTTTACTCTAGCAGCCATTTCATGCATACATCACTTTTTCATTTTCATTTCATTTTATTTTTTGTCTGTTGTGGGGCTTGAACTCTGGGCCTGGGCGCTGTCCCTCTGCAACTCAGCTCAAGGCTAGTGTTCTACCACTGAAGCCACAGTGCCACTTCCAGCTTTCTGAGTGGTTTACTGGAGATAAGAGTCTCACGGTCTCTCCTGCCCGGGCTGGCTTTGAACCGCGATCCTCAGATCTCAGCCTCCTGAGTAGCTAGGATTACAGGCGTGAGCCATCGGTGCCTGGCTTTTATTTATTTATTTTTGCTGCCAATTCTGGGGCTTGAACTCAGCTCTTGCCTAGCTTTTTCACTCAAGGCTGGTTGATACATTACTACTTCAGTTACACCTTCACTTGTAGCTTCTTCCTGATTAACTGGGCTGACTTTGAACTGCAATCCTCAGGTCTCAGCTTCCTGAGTAGCTAGGATTACAGATGTGAGCCACTGGTGCTCGAGCTCCATTGAGGCTCTTAATACATATTGAGTGTGGAGTAGAGTATAACAGACACTCTTGATTTGGGGAAGGATGAGGGTTGGGAGTGGGAAGAGACTGATGGATAGTCTGTGATCATTGGAACAGTTCCCATGTCAAGAGTCTAGAATGGCTGGGTGCTAGTGGCTCACACCTGTAATCCTGGCTACTCAGGAGGCTGAGATCTGAGGATCGAGGTTCAAAGCCAGCCCCAGCAGGAAATTCCATGAGACTCTTAGCTCCAATAAACCACCAGAAAACCAGAAGTGGTACTGTGGCTCAAGTGGTAGAGTGCTTGCCTTGAGCTGAAGAGCTGAGGGACAGCGCCCAAGCCCAGAGTTCAAGCCCCATGACCAACCAAAAAAAAAAAAAAAAAAGTCTAGAATGCTAGGTGGACTGGAACTCAGTTTACAAAAGCATTCCTGACCAACCTATCTGTTCACCCCAGGCTGCTGAGACATAGCTCTGTGTGTGTGTGTGTGTGTGTGTGTATGTGTGTGTGTGTGTGTGTTTGTGTGTTTGTGTGTGTGTGTTGTCTGAAGAGATCCACAGAAGACTTGGCTCCTGGGGAGAATTAGTGGCATTGAAGGGACTCAGGGGGACAGGAAGGATGTTCTGGACTAACAATGGGGAGCTGCCCAGGGGCAGGGAGATTATGTAATAGGCAGAGCACAGCTGTGCCTACTGCTGCCAAGCAAGGCCACAGCTGCCCTGTGGACCCAGCTCCTGGCTCCAAAGTCCTGTCCTGCCCTGGGCTGGGTCTTCTAACTGTTGGAAACCTTCTTTTTGACTTACCACACACTCCATGCCAGGAGGCTTTGTGATAGTTACTCATCATTCTGGCACACAGGAACAGATAATCTAGGTTTAGTACACCCCTGGATTTTAGTTCCTACCTGGGTTGAAATCTGGAAGAAACAGGATTACTGGGAGAGGGCTGCAGTGCCTGCCTCTCCCTGCAGATAGCTCTCTGGCTGGGATGAGGGCGTTCCCAAGCAGAACTTCAATGAGCACTCCTTGGATTTTGGACCACTTTGGATTCCTATTTTTCAGTTGTATGATTTTAGGTACCATCACTGCTCACCTCTGAGCCTTAGTTTCCTTCTCTGCCAATGGGGCCAAGACCTTTCCCCACCCTCCCCACCCCCAGGGTTGATATGAGGATTAAATGATGCCACAGGTGTGAGGCTCTGAGCCCAACTTGGCATGCAGCAGAGGCTCAGAAGAGCAGCTGTTAGCACCAAGCCCTCGTCTCTGCCCTCACAGGACTCCCCGTTTATTGGGAAGGGTAGAACTGTGTGTAAATAGTCCCTGCAGTAAGGCAAGTGGTACAGTAAAGCAACTCTGAGATCCAGTAGAGGCCACCATCACCACCGGACAAAGGGAGGGAAGAGGTCCCAGAGTGAGGCAAAACCAGGGCAGCCATTGTCTCTGGGCTGGACAGGCCAAGACTTTGAATCCTTCCGCCTTTGTTAGAAACTGTGGGAGTCAAATTAACCACCCCTATGTTACAGATTGGTAAATTGAGGTCTCATAATTGGTTAATTTGCAAAAGAGTTGCCCAGTCTGTCTTGTTATACTTTACTTATTCTTTCTTTATTTGTTTACTTGTTTTTTGGTGTGGGTCTTAGGGCTTGAACTCTAGGCCTGGGCACTGTCCCTGTGCCCTTCAGCTCAAGGTAGTCGCTCTACCTCTTGAGCCACAGTGTCACTTCTGGTTTTCTAGTGGTTTATTGGAGATCAGAGTCTTACAGACTTTTCTGCCTGAGCTGGCTTTGAACTGTGATCCTCAGAGTCAGCCTCCTGAGTAGCTAGGATTACAGGAGTGAGCCACCGGTGCCTGGCTTCTTTTGTTTTTAATTTATTGGAGATGAAGAGTTCCTGCCTGGTCTGGCTTTGAACCTCGATCTTCAGATCTCAGTTTCCTGAGTAGCTAGGATTATAGATAGGTGTGAGTCACCAGCACCCAGCTGTCTTAGTTCTTTCAAGCTGAGGCAGTTCTTTCTGCTAGGCAGAAAGTAAGAAGGGGAGAAGGTTGGTCATGGGACTGTTCTGCCTGATTTGTGAGCAGTTACCAGAGGTCTTGGTACTGCACCCTCACTGTGAAAGCAGAGGTGGGGAGAGGAGACCCAACTAGAACTCCTGATCCTACCTTGGAAACAGCCAAGGAGGGGTGTCCCCGCTATACAACTTTCCCCAGGTTGGTAAGTTCTTTCTATTTTCCTTTCCAGAATGGACAGGCATCAGGAGAAGAAGCTGGACTTCAGCCATCCAAGGTGAGGATCAAGGCCAGGTTCCTGGGCTAGTGATTATGGAGGTACTGTTTGTATGACCTTGGTGGAGAAAGGCCTGTCCTTGCTCCACCTGGACACAGAGACCCTGGCCTCTCATCCCTGTGTACAGCTCAGCCTTCCTGCTCTGATTCCACCTAATCCTAGTGGCATCTGTGGGCATAGAACCCAAGTGTTCCATTCTTCCCATTTCATGGGCTAGAGACCAGGGGTCAGGAGCAGGATCCAGGCTGGAATTCTGGCTACTTGTCACCCACACCAGTACAGACACTTCCTAGATTTACTTACTCATGGGGTTTGGGTAGCTCTTAAGAGAGGGCCTCTGCTAAGCTTCTTGGAGGATTGGGCATGACAAAGGCCTTAGAAGCATCTGGGCCCATGAGCTGGAATGCTAGTGCTAGGGGAACCCGGCAGCTTCTGTAGTCTAACCAGGCCCAGTCCCTGGCAAGTGGCTCATAGGATGAGGAACAACCCCTCTCCCCTCTTTCTCTGCTTCCCCCAGGTCCTTCCTACAGCCTCTCAGACCATGTTGCTGGTTTTATGTGTTACTAAAGGCACCCAAGGCTAGGTGACAGTTGTGTGTATGACCTTAGATGAATCCCCTGTTCTCTCTGGGCCTTGGCTTTCTCATTTCTGTTATTGGAAACTACTGGACAGAAGCCAAGCGTGGGCAAACCTGGGTTCAAGTCCTGGCTCCATCTCCATCATTTGCCCAGAAGCTCTTCTCCTTTCTGAGTCTCGGTCCTTCTCTGTCAGTTGGGAAAAGATAGTCCACAGGGGTGATGCGAAGGACAAATGAGATGGTAATTCCTTTGCACACGGTGGCTTCAGCACCAGCAGGGTGATTGCAAGTACAGTACATTGCTCAGCTCCACTTCCTGCCACCAGCCCCGCCTTCTCCGCTAGAGCCTGCCGAGCCCAGACTCACCACAGCTTGACCTTTGAGATGGAATCTGGGTGGGTCCTTCTGTTTACCTTGACTCAACTTCCTAAGATAAGGTAACTGAGCTGAGTGGGGTGGGACAAGGTAGGAAATAGAGCTTTCCCATCCCCTTTTCTGCTGGTTACCTTGGCAACAGAGCCATGGGTATGGGGTCAGTAAACTATGTAGCCTGGACCCCTTGGTTTATTCCCGTCCATGTCTGGAGACTCATTTCTCTATGTACATGCCCTTGGCTTGTTTCCTTCCTTCCTTCCTTCCCTACTTCCTTCCTTCCTTCCTTCCTTCCTTCCTTCCTTCCTTCCTTCCCATCATGGGGCTTGAACTCTGGGCCTGGGCACTGTTCCTGAGCTCTTCAGCTCAAGGTGAGTACTTCACTACTTGTGCCACAGCCCCACTTCCAGTTTTCTGGTGGTTAATTGGAGATAAGAGCCTCATGGACTTTCCTGCCGTGACTGGCTTTGAACCATGATCCTCAGATCTCAGTCTCCTGAGTAGCTAAGATTACAGGTGTGAGCCACCAGTGCCTGGTACCCTTGGTTTTCTAGTAATAAAGTAAAGGGGTTGTGGGTCCTAGTAAAGATCCAGAGGTTCAAATCTTTGGGCTGTGGCTTTGGAGGTTATAGAGGAGTTGATAGCTTTTGAGGAGCTGGTGGTGGTGGTGAGCCTCAGAGCGGCTTTCCAGTTCCTGGGAGAGGGCAGGAGCGTGCCCAGCCTGGGAACCTCCGCTCACTGCCCAGGTTATGGCTCCTGTCCTGGAGCAAAAGATCTTTGGGTAGGAAGGGAGACAAGGCTGGAAATGGTAAGGCAGCAAGAATCTCTGCCACAAAGGAAGAAAGGGGAACTCTCACCTAGCACCATACCACAAGCTTTGCATTTAGTTCCCACTGTGCCCACATTCTTTCCTGAAGAGGAGGATCATGGCTACTATGACTTGAAGTTCCAGCCCCTGGCACCAACCAGCTCATTCATCTCTTGCGCCAGACCAGTATCCCTCAGTTCTCACTTCTGGGCTTAATACACCAGGGGGCGCTCAGGATCTCATAGCTGTGTATTGGATTTACCCTTCATTAGCCGTTCAATGCACTTTGTTGTGGAACTGAGGGACCCTTACATGAAGTCAACATTCCCTAGCTATAGGGAACCCTCAGTCTTGGAGGGAAGGTGGAAATAGGAAAGCCATGTGGCAAGTATTATGGCAAGAGAAGAACATAGTCCTGGGCATATAGAACCTCTGTTCTGGGCAGAGATATATACCAACTTCTACGTGCCCACGTTTCTCTCAGTTGCATGATGAGATGAGCACATCCAAGTCCCAGCTGGTGGCATCTGAGCACCAGGCTGAGCATGGACCAGACAGATGGTCACTGCTGTGTGTGGCAGAAGAGTTGGGTAGTTGTTGGGCCCCTGACTATCCGCCCTGCAGGGCTAGCAGTTGGCTGGCATTTGGATGGTTGGATTTGGGTAGCAGGAAAAAGAGAAGGTAGCTTTTCAGGTGGAGAGGAGATGGGGCAGGGGAGGGGGGGGCTGGGGAGGGCAAGCATCCTGAGTTTAAAAGCTTTCCTCTTTGTCTTATGTGCTTCTAACCTGGGGTAAGTAATTGTGTCTCCAAGGCTCAGACTCTTCCTATAAAAGAAGACTAGAACTTACCTCTTAGAGCCACCTGGAAGACATATAAGATGTGTATACATTAAAAGTTTCCAACAAGGTTTATGGCACAGTATTGTTAAATGCTTGTTTATTTTGTCCATTTCAAGCAAAAAGGGAGCTCAGGGTTTTGGCAACTATAGCGTAGACAGCCAGTGCAGCGCAAGCGCTCCTGGGATGCCATCCACACCTGGGCATTCCTAGTATCTTCAGGCACACTGGAGCTTCACACAGCCTCCCTCCCTTCCTGGGAGTGGACTGGGCATCCCGGGCCCCCTCTTCCAGCTATCTCCGGAGCTGGACCCCTTTGAAGCGCCTTCAGGTCTATTTTGAGAGCAGAGCGTCTCCCCCCTCCCCTCCTCTCTTCCTGTTTATGAAACCCTGATCCCTCTCGGATCCCTCATGCTCCCCTGGCCCGAGCTCAGGCAGGATGTGACTGTGGACTTTGGGGAACCTCAGGTATTAGGAGAAACTTCCCTTGAACGGCAGAGTAGGTTAGCCTACCCTTCCAGCACCTGGGACCTTTGCTTGTGCTTTGGCCTCTCAGCCTGTCCAGAGGAGACCCTGTGGCAGGGAGAAGGTCTGTATATAATGCCTCTTTGTCTCCATGGCACATTTTGCTCCTAAAAACAATCTTCTGTGGGTGGAGCATGTAGTTTGAACCTTCATTTTACTGAGAAGGAAACTAAGGTTCAGATAGGGAGAGAGATTTCCAGAAGCATCCAGCTGGTGAAGACCAGGCACATAGGCCTCGAGCCCCTTGCTCACTGGCCCTTCTTTGTTTGGACTATGTTTTTCCTGTTTCTGCCTGGTCAGTATCTATGTATTCTCAGGACCCAGCTGACTGCCTCCTGCCCAGGTTTCTCCAGGTCTCTCTTGCTGGATAGTCTCTCCTTCTCCTTCTCCTTCTCCTTCTTCTTCTCTTTCTCCTTCTCCTTATTCTTTTTCTCCTTTTTTTTTTTTTTGTCAGTTGTGAGGCTTGAACTCTGGGCCTGGGTGCTGTCCCTCAGCTCTTCAGCTCAAGGCAAGTGCTCTACCACTTGAGCCACAGCACCACTTCTGGTTTTCTGAGTGGTTTATTGGAGATAAGAGTCTCATGGCCTTTCCTGCCTGGGCTGGCTTTGAACTGCGATTCTCAGATCTCAGCCTCCTGAGTAGCTAGGATGACAGGCGTGAGCCACCGACGCCCAGCTGATAGTCATCACTTCTGGGCAGCCATAGCACCTTGATTATAGCGTCATTCTGTCCCAGAACAGTTGTGTTATCAAGTATTTACTTTCGGTGCTACCGGAAGTCAAATCCTGCTTTGGCTTGGCTATACCAGGGGCAGGAGCTGTCAGGGATGTCCAGTGGAAAGGCATGACGCTGGTGTCTAATGCGGGCAGAGAGGCCTTGCAGGGAGCCATGATGAACCAGATGAGTGTGGGCATGGAAAGCAGTCAGACTCCAGCTTTGCTCTTAGCACTCGCACTTGTTCCTTGTGGCCTCGGGCAAGTCACTTTGTCCCTGAGGCGAGTTTTCTCATCTCTGAAATGGGGATTGTCACATCTCCCCTTGGAGCTGAAACACAGGCTCCTCATCCCAGTGCCAAGCACAGGCCTGGTGGACCGCAGTGCATCAGAGCCCGACCATGTGCACTAAATGCCCATTCAGCCCAAGGCATAGTTTTCATTATTGCTCCACGCCAGGCCTGACTCAGGAACTGTCAATCTGGCCTCACTGCTCAGAGGCATGCTGGGAGATGCACCTAGAGACAACCCTTGGGAAGGCCCACATACTGCCATCTAGGGAAGGGACCGCTGGTGTCTATTAGGGCCAAAGACTGTCAGATGGGCTTGACCACAGCTGGAAGAGGGGAGCCCACAGTGGGGATTCTTAAGAGCAATGTTGTGGGGCCCTGGGCTTCTGTCCCAGCTGTGGGAGGAAGTAAATAAAGAGGAAGTATCTGTGGGGTGAACTGGGCAGGGACTCAGGGATGTGGGCTAGTAGCTGTCCTTCCCCCTCCTGCTACCAGAGCCTCAGGCCCCCACACCCTTCAGCGAAGGCAGTTCTGAGACTGTTTCCTTCCTCTTGTCACTTCTGGTAGCCTGCTAGCCACAGCCATTCTTCCCTTGCTTCTGAGGGACTAGGAGGTTGGGGAGAGAGCTGGCACTGGTGCTCACCCAGAGAGCTTTGGGCTCCTGGGGCAGCTGCCCCTGCCCAAAAAAGCCACAGGAGCCTCAGTCTAGGGGAGACACCTTTCCCAGCCCCTGTAGGCCATGCTGCCGATAGCTGTCGTAGGCCCTGCAAAGGACAGGACGTCCTTGTGTACATGGAGGCGTGTTATTTCTGCACAGGATTGTCTAAGGAAAAGGTTTCCGATGATCAGAGCACGTGTCAGTTCCTGTGGGTAAGGGGGTGGAGGGATGCGGCCATATGGAAGGGGGAAGGGCCTGGCTAACCTCTCCCTTCAGCAGCCGTGCCTTCTCTTGGACCTTCTACCCTCTTGCCCACCCCAGGCACTGAGACTGGCTTCTTCAGGGAAGACATTGAGAGGGGGCAAGCCTGGATTTGATCCACTTGACTGCCATTCTTGGGAGCTCACAGCCATGGCAGGGATGCTGTCAGGAAAGGCGTGGCTGAGCTCCACTTCATCATCATACAGCTTCTGTGTTCCTTAGAGACAGGGCAGGAGGGGATGGGGTTGTTTGCTGTCCCTGGGTCATAGGCTTAGGTATCTGTAGTATCCCCTCTTCAGCAAGGCAGCCTGCACCATCTTCCGTCCCTCCCTGCTGAGGGGGAAGTGAGAAGGAGGGGGCCAGGGACCAAGAAAGCTAAAAAAAGCAGAAGTATGAGGAGTAACGGGGCCCTCTGGCCACTAGCTTGAGCCCCACCATGCAGACCCCGGCAGAGTTCCCCAGAGTTGAGAGAGACCCAGTCTCCTGTCTCAGAAAGGTGAGCCAAAGAATGACCTGCCTCCAGCAGTGTCTGTCACAAGACTCTGGGCAAGTTATAGATGGGGGGGTGGGAAGGGTGGCTCCGTCCTCTGGGGTTTCCGGATGGCTGCATCTGTCTCCAGGGAGTTTTCTGTCAGAGGCAGGCAAGACAAGCAGAGTTGCAGATCTTCGGGTAGTCTGGGCAGGGATTGCTGTGTGGCTTTAAACTATCTCAGTCTCTCTGAGCCATCATTTCTGTCTGTCTAGAAAGTTACACATCAGCCAGGGATCTAATTTGCCTGCTTTTTGGTTATTTCATGGGGCTGCTAAACCTAATCCCCTATTGTCAGAGGGAGTCTCCTGAAGGCAGAGTTGTCTCTGAGGGTCAAGCTCTGGAGTGGGAAGTTCCATACTGGCCTTAGGGCTTAGGGAAAGGATGGCTTGGGTAGACAGGAAGGGAGGGGGCTTGCCTGCCCACCCTTCCCTGGCACTATGAGTCTGCGCTCCAGCCAGGCAGGGTCCAGAGGAGGAACTTGGCTCAAGTTGTTTCATCCAGGGGCTGGCTTTGGACGGTGCTATTCTCTGTGCCTCAGTTTTCTGTTCCCCAAAAGGGGTTAACAGGTTTTTTTTTTAAAAATCAGAGTCAAAATCATCAAAATGCTAGCAGAGACGGTACCCTCGAGCAGTACCGGAGCCCTAGACCCCGTTTAGGTAAAACCCAAGGAAACAGATGACCTTAGAGATGGGTTGGCCACGAACACCGGAGTGCTGAGTGCTGACAGCCACGTTCCCTTGTGCCTCTGCACAGCCCTGGCTATACCAACAAGAATGCACAGATCTGCCCTTCACTCTTTTCCTGGCGATCTCTGTCCTGTCACTTGCCTGTGTCTGCTCTGGGCATTTGTCAGTCTGCGTAGACTTCACTTGCTCTGGTTGTGTTGCTGCCTACTTCTCTGTGTTATTGAGTTTCAGGTCCTGTCTCTATTTGATAAGTGCCTGTTGTCACTTATTGAGTACATGCCACATGTTAGGCATCTATTGGTACCTAATTGTCTTTGCCTTCTGTCTTTGCCTGTTGGGTTGGTATTTCCATCTGTTGCTACCTGATATGTTCATATCCCTTCTGTCTACATGTTGGTACAGGGGTCTTGTCTACCTCGGTTAGACCTGAGTTTCCATCTCTCTCTGCTGTTAAGTGAAGATCTTCATCTATCTCTGCCTGTTGGACATAAGTTCTTTTACTTCCCTTCTGTTGGAGGCATATCTATTTGTATTTGTGTATGTATATATATACATATATATGTATATATATATATACTTACAAGTGATGTGTATCTCCCTCATCCTGCCTGTTGGAAGCTTATCTTTTTATATCTCTACCTGTTGAATGCCTGCCTCTGCCTGTTGGTGTCCCCTTCTCTGCCTATACGCACTAGGCACCTGTTTCTGCCTGCTGGGTACCAATCTACTCAGCAGCTGGGTCTGCCTGAGGTTTTCCCTCTAAGCCCGCAGGAGGATGGGGGGAGGGTCAGAGGGTAGCCTCTTCAGGCACTGGGAGGTGGGGTGGAGAGAAGGGAGCCGGCTGAGGGTGGAGGCCTGGAGCTAGGAAACCACAGGCCCTGAATGATTGGTTGCCCTGGGCCGGGCCCAGCCCCTGTGCCCTCACCCTGCACATCCGCCTTGGGCCTGGCCACCTCCGCAGCAGCCCTTGACACTGCCTGCTCCTGCCATGGTGCTGGCCCTGCTGGGCAGATGGAGCAGGATCCCAAGCCGCCCCGTCTGCGGCTCTGGGCCCTGCTCCCCTGGCTACCCAGGAAGCAGCGGCCCAGGATCATTCAGTCCTCTCTGCCTGCCCCTGGCCCTGGTTCTGGCCCCCAGCAGGACTCGGTGAGTGTGCCCGGATGTCTGGTCCTAGTCTGGCATAGCCCTTGGAAACAGGTGCCTGAGTAGCCACTAGGGCTTAATCTGGCTTTGGACTCTCCTAGCCCATGTCTGGCCCTGCGGGGTGGTTGGACCCCGCTCAGGCTTGCTTCCTGGGGAAATGAGGTGGTAACACCTCAGGGTATCAGGGCAAGACTGACAGATTGGGGAGGGGCAGAAAGCCCCTAGAACAGCTGGGACCTGACCAAGGGTTTCCAAGAGAAGTTTGGGCAGGTGAGGCATGGAGTTTCTGGCATTAACTCCCACCGAGCTCAGGCTGATACTTAGTGGGTTGAAGGGGGTTGTTTGGGTGACACTTAAGCTTCTGTGTACCTTAACTCTCTCCATATACCCAGAGTGAACTCCCCATCTCATCCTTACCAGCAACAAAGGCCAATTCTACCTCCCCATTGTGAGCTCAAATGTTACTTCCTATTGTAGCAAAACCAAAACAGCAGGGGGAGGGGAGTCCTACTGGCAAACCTCACAGGTCCCTGCACCTCAGCCAGAGTCTAGGGTCAGCTCTTCCTGGCCATGCTGGCCCATTCCTTGGGGCCTGACCAGGTCAGAGCCGGGCCTTACCTGAACCAGCAGCTTGGTGATTTGGCATTGCAGCCTTTGAAGCCCCATTGGGACCCATGAGTCTTAGAGCCGGCCCATCAGGAACATGGTCTGTTGGGTCTGCTAAGGTCTGGTGGTACTGCTTGGATGGGTGCCATCCCCGCTCTCTGAGCAGGACCCTGTGCCTACCACCAGCTCTGCTCCTCTGTCCAGGATGAGGGCGTCCTCAAGGAGATCTCCATCACGCACCATGTCAAGGCAGGCTCCGAGAAAGCAGATCCATCTCATTTCGAGCTCCTCAAGGTTCTGGGCCAAGGATCCTTTGGCAAAGTGAGTCATAAGTCCTGGCTGGGAGGATAGCACCAGTCATGTCCAAGGTGGGGGCTAGGTGTCTTGACCAGAGAGTCAGAGGGCGAAGGTGAGAAGTTCATCTTGGGGCTCAGGGAAGCCAGACTCAACAGAGACTATGGAAGATGAGAGCCAGTCGGCTCAGCCTCCTCCCAGCTCCTCCCTGGAGTTTTCTGCCTCTACTTTCTCAGGTCTTCCTGGTGCGGAAGGTCACTCGGCCTGACAATGGGCATCTGTATGCCATGAAGGTACTGAAGAAGGCAACATTGAAAGGTGAGTCTGGGCACCTTCCTGGGCAGAACCCACTCTGGGCCCGGGGTTAAGGGAGAAGCCCTTAGTAGCTCTATCTTCAGGAGCACCTAGTATGGAGGTGGAAAACAGACCTATACCCAATCTCCCCCCTCCCCTTCCTCGTTCTCAAAGAGGCTGGCCATGACTGGCTGAAGGTGAATATGTGGAATGAGGTAGTGGGGAGAATGTAATGTACTTCGGCAAAATGATTCAAGCCAGGAATCCTAGCTACTTGGGAGGCAGAGATTGGAAGATAATGGTTCAAGGCTAGACTGGGCATAAATGTTGCAAGACTCTATCTCAATCAATGGCTGGGCATCTGTCATCCCAAGCACCTGGCTGGGGATTGTGGCATGGACCTGTCATTTCAGTGACAAAGAAAAACACAAAATAGGAGGATTGCAGTTCAGGCCAATCCATACATAAAGTGAGACCCTATCTTGAAAGTAGCCTGCACAAAAAGGAACTGACTGGCTCATGTGGTAGAGCACCTGTTTAGCAAGCATGAGGCCCTGAGTTCAAACCCTAGTACTGCAAAAAAAAAAACAAACCAAACTGGTATCTGGTCAGCAGAGTTGTTTTATAATGCTAGAAGAATCTGAGGGAAGCAGGGTGCTGGTGGCTCACACTTGCAATCCTAGCTACTCAGGAGGCTGAGATCTGAGGATCTCAGTTCAAAGCCAGCCTGGGCAAGAAAGTCCATTAGGGGGCTGGGAAGGTGGCTCAGTGGTAGAGCGCTTGCCTTGCATGCATGAGGCCCTGGGTTCAATTCCTCAGCACCACATAAGCAAAAAGAAAAAGCCAGAAGTGGCACTGTGGCTCAAGTAGAAGAGTGCAGGCCTTGAGTTGAAGAGCTGAGGAATAGCGCCCAGGCCCAGAGTTCAGGCCCCACAACCGGACCCAAAAAATTAAAAAAAAAAAAGAAAGTCCATTAGACTCTTACCTCCAATTAACTACTTGAAAACTGGAGGTGGCACTGTGGCTCAAGGGTTAGAGCACTTGTCTTGAGCTGAAGAGCTCAGAGTTCAAGCCCCACAACTGATTAAAAAAAAAGGGGGGGGGGCTGGGAAGGTGGCTCAGTGGTAGAGCGCTTGCATTGCATGCATGAGGCTCGATTCCTCAGTACCACATAAGCAAAAAGAAAAAAGCCAAAGTGGTTCTGTGGCTCAAGTGGTAGAGCCCTAGCCTTGAGCTGAAGAGCTGAGGGACAGTGCCCAGGCCCAGAGTTCAGGCCTGCTGAGGGACAGTGCACAGGCCCAGAGTTCAGGCCCCAAGACCGGACCCAAAAAACAAACAAACAAAAAAGAATCTGAGGGAGATTTCTCTGGCTCTAGGGTACAGAAGGGTGTGGAAGAAGTGGAGCCCAGTGGGGGGTAGATTGGCTTAGAGGGTGGGTGGAGACAGGGCTACAGAGCTGAGTGGAAGAGAGGTTCTGAAGGAGGAGAATCTAAGCCAAAGTCTAAAATTCTAGGACCTTAAAAAGGATGTGAAGGTAGTGGATTCAGGGTCAGATGTTGACTGTGACTGGCCTGCAAAGTCAGTGTGTCCAATGATCATGTGCAGTCTAAGCCAAGCCTTGATTGGAGTGTAGGGGAAGTGGGAAAGTTCAGCCTTAGGAATGGATGGCTTCTATGGCCCATGAGGGATCTGCAAGGTGATGGTAGTTTTTGTGCAGCCTAATGGACAGGGGTCACTCCCCAGAGGCATAGTGATGAAAAGACATCTCATATGAACAGGTCTCACAGGCTGGATGCAAGAGGCTATCTATAGGGCTGGGAAGGTGGCTCAGTGGTAGAGCGCTTGCCTTGCATACATGAGGCCCTGGGTTCCATTCCTCAGCACCACATAAGCAGCATAAGCCGGAAGTGGTGCTGTGGCTCAAGTGGTAGAGTGCTAGCCTTCACCTGAAGAGCTGAGGAACAGCACCCAGGCCCAGAGTTTAGGCCCTATAACGGACCAAAAAAAAAAAAAGTTATCTATACATGCCCTGCAAATGCCATGCAATGGTCCTGTGACCCTTGTGTATGGCTGTCTTAAGACTGTGGAGCACAGTGGGCTGATATGCAGCCTTTCAGAAACTGCTGAGAGGTCACGGATACACCTGAAGAGAAGCCAGGAGAGATACGCCTTGAGGAATGGATTAGGAGTTATCTTGACCAAGGTGATAGAGAAAGGGCATCTGGAAAGGAGGAGCTGTTTGCCTGAGATGGTTGGAAATATAAAATGTGTTGGAAACAGCTGGGGTAGTTAATTACCTCCTAGCACCTGCTGCATCTGGTAAGGGGAATACAAGAATTGAAGCAAAGCCGGGAGCTGGTGGCTCACGCCTGTAATCCTAGCTACTCAGGAGGCTGAGATCTGAGGATCGCGGTTCAAAGCCAACCCGGGCAGGAGAGACCGTGAGACTTCTATCTCCAATAAACCACCAGAAAACTGGAAGTGGCGCTGTAGCTCAAGTGGTAGAGTGCTTGCCTTGAGCTGAAGAGCTGAGGGACAGTGCCCAGGCCCAGAGTTCAAGCCCCACGGCCGACAAAAAAAAAAAATTGAAGCAAAGAAAAAGTACTCTGGAGGGGAAGCCCAGCACTGGGAACCCAGAAGTCCCCATCCAAGGGTTCAAGGGCAAAGCGGCCTCCAGTGGGGAAGAAAGCCAGACCTGAATCACATCAGCCAGGAGCCTGCTGATAGAATTACTGGGCAATGTTTTTTCTTCCTTTTTGTTAAGCTTTTTTGTTTGTTTTGTTTAGTTTTTTTTCCGTCTGGGGCTTGAACTCTGGACTTGGGCGCTGTCCCTCAGCTCTTCAGCTCAAGGGTAGCGCTTTACCACTTGAGCCACTGTGCCCTTTTTGGTTTTCTGAGTGATTTATTGGAGATAAGAGTCTCACGGACTTTCCTACCCAGGCTGGCTTTGAACTCTGAGTAGCTAGGATTACAGGCGTGAGCCACCGGCGCCCAGCAATACTAGGGAATTTTTATGTCTGATGAAGAGGAGGCTGTTAAAGGTACACAGAGTCAAAGTCTAAGGACCTCAGAAAATAGGGCACAGTGGAGTTCTAGTTGCTCAGTGGCTCTTGATATGAGATACGGTGGGAGAGAGGGCTGGAGTTCTGGGTGAAGTACTGAGTCCTGACATTGGGCTTTGCCATGAGAGGCAGAAGTAGAGGTCAGGCCCAGAACTGAGAAAGCCAGAATGGTCTGGGGAGGAAGAAGGAAATTGATTATCCGCAGGGCTGTGGTTGGGAGAATCTCAGAAGCACAGGCTTGGAGGAATAGCTGGAAAGGGAGCCTGTAGTTGGGCTGGGAGAGTGGCTATGTTGGTGACTTCCTTTCTCTTCTGGCCAGTGCGTGACCGCGTTCGGACCAAGATGGAGAGAGACATCCTAGCTGATGTCAACCATCCATTTGTGGTGAAGCTACATTATGGTGAGACACAGATCCCGCCCAGGAATCCCACAGATTCCTGTCCCTCTCAGCTTCGACCCTTTCCCATGGTCTGCTGCCTTCTCTGTACCTTGTCCTACTTCCCACCTGTCTGGCCAAAGAGCCAGAGCTGGAGGAACAGTTCACAACTCAGGTGACACCAGTATGGATCTTCCCCTTTCTCAGCCTTCCAGACAGAGGGCAAGCTCTATCTCATTCTGGACTTCCTACGTGGTGGTGACCTCTTCACTCGGCTCTCAAAAGAGGTGAGCTGACATTCATCCTGCCAGAGGGCCCCAGGATGGAGCTGGGGACACAACAGTCTTCTATTCCAGGGCCTTGTGAAGAATATATCTGATGTGGCCTGGTGCTATAACTAACTGTCTAGCCCGTCCTGGCGGCCTCTGACCCTGGAAACGTCACCTGCCCTAGTACAGAGGCCACCCCTAGAAAGCCTCTAGATCTGATGCCACCTTGATTTTACAGAGCTAAGGGTGCCCCTTACCACATCCATGCTGCCAGTGCTGTGCTAAGCAGGACATGAGCACAGAGGAGAAGTCCAAATGTCCCCAGAAAGCTATAGACTAGCGTTCTTGTCCTGCATGTTATATAAAAATAGTTGAACTACGCTGGGCGTCGGTGGCTCACCCTTGTAATCCTAGCTACTCAGGAGGCTAAGATCTGAGGATTGCTGTTGAAAGCCAGCCCGAGCAGGAAAGGCTGTGAGACTCTTATCTCCAACAAACCACTCAGAAAACCAGAAGTGGCGGTGTGGCTCAAGTGGTAGAGCGCTTATTTTGAGCACTGAGGGCCAGCGCTCAGGCCCAGAGTTCAGGCCCCAGGACCAACAACAACAACAAGACTTCCAGGGGCTGGGAATGTGCCTTAGTGGTAGATGGCAGAGTGCTTGCCTAGCATGCATGAGGCCCTGGGTTTGATTCTTCAGTACCACATAAACAATAAATAAATAAGTAAAACAGTAATAATTATTTTTAAAAAATCTTCAGGGCGGGATGCTGGTAGTTCACACTTTTCAGGAGGCTAAGGTGTGACAATGGTGGTTCGAAGCCAGCTTGAGCCAGAAAGTCCATAAGACTCTTAACTCCAAATTAATCACCAAAAAAAAAAAAAAACAACCCAATAATTTTGTTTTTGCTCAAGCACTAGCCTTGAGTGAAAAGGCTCAGGTACAGCACCCAGGCCCTGAGTTCAAGCCCCAGGACTGGCACATACACACAAAAAATAGTCTTCCTCTTTTTTGATCTCATTCCCTTCTATCTCCCTACCTCTAGGTAAAGCATTTCCATTGTTTTCTTTCACATTGGTTTCCCATGTGCCTTTTGCAAATAATGTTCTGAATCTTTACCTCCACCTTCTTGGGTAAAATGTATCATTCTGTATATACTGTGTCCCATTACCCCCTCCACTCCCCCCCCCCCCCAAACACCTGCTTTTTAGTGCCAGTCCTGGGGCATGAACTCAGCCTGGACATTATCCCTGATCTTCCTTTGCTCAAGGCTAGTATTCTACTACTACTTGAGCCACTTCTGGAATTTTCTAAGTGGTTTGTTGGAGACAGAAGTCTCATATACTTTCTGTCTGGGCTGGCTCTGAACTGAGATTCTCACATCTCAAAGACTCCTAAGTAGCTAGGATTACAGGCATGAGCCCATGCCTTTTTAAGACTGTCATAAATCACTCCATATAAGAACTAAATTTGTTCTAGTTTATGTCTGCAGAGCCCTCCGTTATGTGGGGAGAGTCCGGTTTATTCTAGTTCTCTACTACTTAGACACAACCTTTTGTTATTACCAAACAATGCCACAGTGAGTGGCTTGGATGTTAGTCACTTCCTACTTCACACCCCTTTGGTGTATGTTTGTTTGTCTTTTTTTTTTTGGGTCCAGTCATGGGGCTTGAACTCTGGGCCTGGGCGCTGTCCCTCAGCTCTTCAGCTCAAGGCTAGCGCTCTACCACTTGAGCCACAGCACCACTTCCGGCTTTTTTCTGTTTGCTTATGTGGTGCTGAGGAATCGAACCCAGGGCCTCTTGCATGCAAGGCAAGCGCTCTACCACTGAGCCACCTTCCCAGCCCCCCTTTGGTGTATGGTGCCTAGAGTGGACCCCTAGAAGCTGTTGACTGCCTAGTGGCCCAGCCCCAGAGAAAGAGGGTGTTCCAGCTAGAGGCGCCTCCTCATTTTGGCCCCTGGCCCATTGCAGGTTATGTTCACGGAAGAGGATGTGAAGTTTTACCTGGCAGAGCTAGCTCTGGGCCTGGACCACTTGCACAGCCTGGGCATCATTTACAGAGACCTCAAGCCTGAGAAGTGAGTAGAGCTCTGCCCTCCCTGCCCTGCCTCCTTAGTGAACTAAGTGCCCCAGGCCTCTTCTAGAATACCGCTACCTGATGGAGGTGGGTGCTATTCTTTCCAGGAGCTGCCCCCTTCTGGGGCTCTCTGAAAAATGGGCAGGGTTGAGCAGGGTGACAGCAGGCTGCTACCTTTGGTGATTAGAGGCTACCTAATCACCTTGCTGCCATTACCAAGACCTGATACCTTCCAGGCAGCTGTGTTGTCCACTTTTGATTGTTAAGTCAACATGACACCTGAGATTCTGCCATTAAAGATCATCCCTTGAGGGGCTTGGAATGTGGCTTAGTGGTAGAGTGCTTGCCTCCCATGTATGAAGGCCTGGGTTCGATTCCTCAGTACCACATAAACAGAAAAAGCTGAAAGTAGCACTGTGGCTCAAGTGGTAGTGTTCTAGCCTTGAGCAAAAGAAGCTCAAGCCAGATGCCAGTGGCTTACGGCTGTAATCCTAGCTACTCAGGAGGCTGAGATCTGAGGATCGCAGTTCAAAGCCAGCCTGGATAGGAAAGTCCATGAAACTCTTTTTTCTTTTTATGGTTGGTCATGGGGCCTGAACTCTGGGCCTGGGCGCTGTCCCTCAGCTCTGCAGCTCAAGGCTAACACTCTACCACTTGAGCCACAGCACCACTTCCAGCTTTTTCTGCTTATGTGGTGCTGAGGAATCAAACCCAGGGCCTCAGGCATGCAAGGCAAGCACTCTACCACTTGAGCCACAGCGCCACTTCCGGATTTTTTTTTTTCTTTTTGCTTATGTGGTGCTGAGGAATGGAACCCAGGGCCTCAGGCATGCAAGGCAAGCACTCTACCCCTGAGCCACTTTCCCAGCCCTGCATGAAACTTTTGTCTCCAATAAACCACCAGAAAACTGGAAGTTGGCATTGTGGCTCAAGTGGTAGAGCACTCGCCTTGAGCTGAAGAGTTGAGGGGCAGTGCCCAGGACCAGAGTTCAAGCCCCACAACCAAACAAAAAAAAGAAAAAGAAGAAGGAGCTCAAGCAGGGCGCCGGTGGCCCACGCCTGTAATCCTAGCTACTCAGGAGGCTGAGATCTGAGGATCATGGTATAAAGCCAGCTCCACCAGGAAAGTCTGCACTGTGGCTCAAGTGATAGAGCACTCACCTTGCGCTGAAGTGCTCAGGGACAGCACCCAGGCCCAGAGTTCAAGCCCCAGAACCAGCAAAAATAAATAGGTACATCTGAATTTAAATTCTGTCTCCAACAGCTACTAGCTTTGAGACTATGGAGAGATGCTTATTAACTTTCCTGAATTGTAGTTTCAGTAAATTTATGAAATGGGGCTGTAATAGGCCTTTCCTCACAGTTGTTGCAAGAATTAGCAGAAAAGGTAGACCCACCTGTGTGGCATTGCTGGGACCCTGCTCCACCACCCATTTCTCCAGTCTGGGTGCAGTACCTCGTATAGGCAGGCCCAAGTTCCTCTGCCCCATGGTGCCAGCAGAACTCAGAGTTTTTTGCCTGGGCACCTGCCACTGAGGGACCCTGACTCCTGTTTCTTCACTCTTAGCATCCTTCTGGATGAGGAGGGCCACATCAAACTCACTGGTGAGTGGTGGGGCCCAGCCCCTTAGGGCCCCAGGGGAAGATGGAAGGAGCTCCTGAGAGGTCTTAGCTGAGGTCTGGGGGCTCATTTTTCCTAAGAGATGGTACCAAGCTGGTGCTGGTGGCTCACGCCTGTAATCCTAGCTATTCAGGAAGCTGAGATCTGAGGATTGAGGTTCAAAGCCAGGCCAGGCAGGAAAGTCTGTGAAACTGCCAGAAATTAACTGCCAGAAAACTGGAAGTGGCATTGTGGCTCAAGTGGTAGAGCACTAGCCTTGAGCTGAAGAGCTGAGGGACAGCGCCCAGGCCCAGAGCTCAAGACCCATGACCAAAGAAGAAAGAAAGAGAGAGATGGTACCAGCTACTCAAAAGGGTCAGATCACTGGCAGGCTCCAGACTTGGAACATCCCAGTCTTGGAATCCTTGTTCTTCGATCTGTAACCTTGGGCAGGTCACCTAACCTCTCTGAGCTTCAGCTTCCTTCTAAGTATCATGGAAGTGATGCCCTCCGGCCTCTTGAGTGGGCAGTTGAGTAAGGGGTGGCAGCAAGGAAAGCCAGGGTTCGAAAGATGTGACCTCTGCCCCCTCCTGGCTGCAGACTTTGGCCTGAGCAAGGAGGCCATTGATCACGAGAAGAAAGCCTACTCGTTCTGCGGGACCGTGGAATACATGGCTCCGGAGGTTGTCAACCGCCAGGGCCACACCCACAGTGCAGATTGGTGGTCCTATGGTGTGTTAATGGTGAGTGCCCAGGAAAGGGTGAAGAATCCTTGGACTCTGGCCTCAGTGTCCCCTCTGGACAGCACGGGAGTTGGCTTATCTCAAAGCTTTCCTCTTGTCTTCTCACAGCCTGGCTCTCCTCACCCTTGCATTCTGTCACAATTTCCTTCCTTGGAAAGCTCCCAGGATCGGCCCCACCTGAGGGACCCCCTTCCCCACTCCCAAACCTGGCTCAGGGCCTTTCCTTGGTTTCTGGCACCTAACGCTGTCACTGGAGGTTTGGGTTGGCAGAGGGGAGAGGTGGACTTGGAGCTAGAATTCTAGCGTTGGAGCAGGGTGGCTGGAGGAGGAGGAGGAAGGGGGGGCGTGGCAGATGGAACAAAGCCTAAATGAACTTGTCCTCTGCAGTTTGAGATGCTGACGGGCTCCCTGCCCTTCCAGGGGAAGGACCGAAAGGAAACCATGACCTTGATTTTGAAGTAAGCACCAGTCCCATGCTGGGCCCTCAGGAACTCCCCCAACAGCACCCGGGTTTGGAGGCCTGCCGGTTATCCCCTCGTTGCCTCCATGATCCTTTTCTTCTTCTTCTTCTTCTTCCAGGGCTTGTGGGAGGGATCCTTGAAGTCCTTGGGAGGTGAGGTAGTGGCCTCACTTGTCTTGACTGAGCTGGGAACAAGCCTTGGAAGAGGGGGAGGAGAGCTTGGGCTCCTGGGGCGGGATTCAGTCCTGATGAGATGTGGGGGCTGTTTCAGGGCGAAGCTAGGCATGCCCCAGTTTCTGAGCACGGAAGCCCAGAGCCTCCTGCGGGCCCTGTTCAAGAGGAACCCTGCCAACCGGCTCGGTAAGCAGCCACAGCCCAGAGGAAGGGACTTGGTGGTAGGGAGCAGGGTACAGCTGCAACTTAGGCCATGGGGTCACATCTGGGGCTGAAAGGGACCGTTGTCCTTTGTGTGAGCAGACAATGCCACGGGCCACTCTGTTTTCTGCTCCATGTGTGGTGTTGGAGGGGGGTGATGACCTGTGTGTAGGGGGGAAGGCAGGAACTGAGTCATCTCCACTCCCTCTGAGGACAAGGACAGAGGCCCCCACATAGTTTCCCTGCCAAGGTTGCTGGCTCAAGAGCAGGCCCATGAGCTCAGGAATGACAAGGCTCAGGCCCAGCCCCAGCGGTGTCAGTCCCCACTGCCTGGCTCCCAGCAGACCTTCGTAAATATTTGCTGAATGAATAAGTACCATGTATGAGCCATGTGACCATGGCAGGTGACCTCACCTCTCCGAGCTCTGAGTTTCTTGTCTCAGTGGAGCTGAGGATCCCAGGCTGGCACAGGGCTCTGCCAATTAAGTGAAGTCTCATGGATGGGCCTGACACGTAGTAGGCGTTCAATAGGTGTCTGCTTCCTTGGCTCGTGGGTTCACCTGGTTCCATGATCAGCTTCTTAGGGTGTCATCGATGCTGAGAAGGGCACTAGGATAAGAGGAGAGCAGAGATGGGGTCTGGATCAGGAGGGTGTAAGGGGCCTCTGTCCCTCCCAGAATAAGTCCAGCTTCTGTCCTGACTGTGTGACCTTGACAAGGTCTTGGACCTCTCTGGGCCTCCTCCTTCTATGTATACATTGCCGCTTGATCATCAAAAGCTCCATAAAGTAGAAAAGACAAAGTGGTCAACAGTCTTAGGCACATTCAGAGCAGCGTGAGCCTATCCCCTGCTCCCTGTCCTAGCATCTGGTCACAGAGCTCTGTGCAGCTCCTTGGCTGATGGGTTGGTTGCCTGGGGTTGGGCCTTGGAGTAAACCCTTCATTTGGGCTCTTTTAGGTTCTGGCCCCGATGGGGCAGAAGAAATCAAGCGGCACATCTTCTACTCCACCATTGACTGGAACGTGAGTGGCCATCCATGCCTGGCTCCCCCAGGGCTGGCCATAGGAAGGGGATGGAGTGCAGGGGAGGGGGGGAGGGGGAGCATGGGAGGGGGCTCTGAGGATGATGGCCACAGAAGTAGCAGTAGAGGATGACGACCGGTCTTGAAGACTTCAACGTAGGGCCCACCTCCCTCAGGCAAGCAGTCCTGCTGTTTGCTGGACATTGTGACCTCTGCTCCTAGCTGGGGCTCCCGGTGGGCAGTGGGTGGGCAGTGGGAGTACCGTGGTGATCAGAAACCGCACCCCCATCTTGTAGAAGCTCTACCGTCGCGAGATCAAGCCACCCTTCAAGCCCGCTGTAGCTCAGCCCGACGACACCTTCTACTTTGACACTGAGTTTACATCCCGCACACCAAGAGGTACATCCCTTGTCTGATTTTGTCTGTCCAGGGCCGGTACAAGAGCAAAACAGGGAGATTGGGGCACCTGGGGACACAGGGATGATCAGGAACTCTGGCAGGCCGGGCCTGAGTGTGTGGGTAGACAGGCGGTGAGTGTCTGGCCTGTGTCAGACTGCTTGATTCTCTTACTCTGGGGCTCTGTGGGCTTCTTTGTGTCTGGGTGAGAGGGTGAGGTGTGTGGGTGGATTGGGCCACAATGGGAGAGTCAGGACCCCTGCTGTGGGCGTCACCCAGCCCACTGGGAAGACTAAACACAGCAGGCCTGTAGTCAGGTCAGGACTAAGGAATCTGACCCAGCAAAACCACGGTAGAGAGAGTCTGGTAGAGCAGGGTTGACAGTATTCATAGGTCAAGAGCAAGCGTGGGAATCTGACTTTGGGGCTTTCTAACTGCTGGGCCCTCAGTGTACTCATCTGGAACATGGGCACAGCCACTGTCCCACTCATTCCTAGGAGTTACTTCAAGAAGCCAATGGGAGGGGCTGGGAAGGTGGCTCAGTGGTAGAGTGTTTGCCTTGCATGCACGAGGCCCTGGGTTCGATTCCTTAGCACCACAGAAGCAGAAAAAGCTGGAAGTGGTGCAAGTGGTAGAGTGCTAGCCTTGAGCTCAAGAGCTGAGGGACAGCGCCCAGGCCGAGTTCATGACCAACAAAAAATAAAAATAAAAGGAAACCAAAGAAGGCCTTCTGGGTGGAAGCTTGGTAATTCCAAACATTTTGGCTAGGTTTTTGCCTGTGGGTGGTGAGTAGCATGTTAGGACTGAGATGCCTCTGGAGAGGCACATGTTAGCAAAGCATGTGCTTTGCGCACTATAGCCTGCACACCTCTGGTGACTGAGCATTCAGCACTTTATGAACAATCTGTCTACACCTTATTTATCAGCTAACTACATACCAAGTCACTATTGTGTCCCAGCCATAAGAGGCAATAATGGTTAATAAGATGGTCCCTTGCAGACTGGGAATGTGGCTTAGTGGTAGAGTGCTTGTCTAGTATGCATGAAGCCCTGGGTTTGATTCCTCAGTACCACAAAAACAGAAAAGGTCAGAGGGGCTGGGAAGTTGGCTCAGTGGTAGAGTGCTTGCTTTGCATGCATGAGGCACTAGGTTCGATTCCTCAGCACCACATAAACAGAAAAAGCCAGAAGTAGCGCTGTGGCTCAAGTGGTAGAGCGCTAGCCTTGAGCTGAAGATCTGAGGGACAGCACCCAGGCCCAGAGTTCAGGCCCTACAATGACCAAAAAAATAAAAAAGAAAAAGCCAGAAATGGAGCTGTGGCTCAAATGGTAGAGTGCTAGCCTTGAGCAAAGAATCTCAGGGAAGCCAGGCGCCAGTGGCTCACGCCTGTAATCCTAGCTGCTCAGGAGGCCAAGAGCTGAGGGTCCTGATTCAAAGCCAGCCCAGGCAAAGTCCATGAGATTCTCATTTCCAATCAACCACCAGAAAACCAGAAGTAGCTCTGTGGCTCAAAGTAGTAGAGCACTAGCCTTGAGTGAAAAAACTTAGGGACAGTGCCCAGGCTTCGAGTTCAAGCCCCATGACTGACAACAAAGCTGGGCCCCAGTGGCTCACACCTATAATCCTAGCTACTCAGGAAGCTGAGATCTGAGGATCGTGGTTCAAAGCCAGCCCAGGCAGGAAAGTCCGTGAGACTCTGATCTCCAATTAACCTCCAGAAAACTGGAAGTGGTGTTGTGACTCAAGCAGTAGAGCACTAACTTTGAGCTGAAATGCTCAGGGACAGCGCCCAAGCCCAGAGTTCAAGCCCCACAACTGACAAAAAAAAAAAAGGTCCTGAAGAGTCACACCTGAGTCAGGGAGGCCAGGGAGAAAGTAGGACTCTTAGTCTGAATGGAACTTGGACTGGAAACCAAATGTGGGAATTGGACATTCTTCATGTGGCAGGGCTGGGTTGATCTAAACATGTAGGAGCAGATAGGCGAAGGCCTAGAATAGAGGCCCCACTGTGGTCAGATGCTGAGGCAGGCTGGGACCTCCTGGGTCCTCTTTGCTGGGCTGTGTGGGGATGAAGGGCACCTCTCCAGGCTCATGTCACCTCTTGTCCCTACAGATTCCCCAGGCATCCCCCCCAGCGCTGGAGCCCATCAGCTATTCCGTGGCTTCAGCTTCGTGGCCACTGGCCTCATGGAGGATGATGGGAAGCCTCGGACCACACAGGCGCCCTTGAACTCAGTGGTACAGGTGAGTGAGGCAGGGTACTGCTGCTCACTTATACTTTTCCACCCGGAAGCCTCAAGGCGAAACAAAGAAGAACACAGGCTCTAGAGGCGGATGGGCCTTGGATAAACCCTACGCGAGCCTCCAAGCTCCTGGACCCTCACCTATCCCGTGCATGAAGCGGGATGATGCCTGTCTCACCCCTGACGACTAGATGGGAATAAAGGTGTAAACTCGCTGACACAGAGCCAGGGTGTGTGTAAATGCCAGTGAATGCTCAGGAGGTAGAGGAGGGAGTGGCGGCCCGGTCAGGAGTGGGTGGCGGAAGACTAAGTTCTCACATTCGTCCCTCGTTTGTACGTTGCCCTGCTCCAAGGAAAGCTTAGAGAGGGGAGGCAAGAATGTAGACTCCAGAGCTTGTTGCCTGGGTTCAGAGCTCCCAGGGTAAATGTGACTTTGGATGAGACACCTTCCCTGTGCCTCAGTTTCCTTATCTGCAAATTAGGATCATGATAACCTCTCTATAGAGTTGTGAGGGTTATCTGAGTTACTATGATTATAGCTAAGGTGATTATGTAATTTGTTGTCCCCACTGGGCCATCTTTGTCCAGGACAAATATTAAACCAGACTAGAGCCAGGCAGGCGCCCGTGGCTCATGCCTGAAATCCTAGCTACTCAGGAGGCTAAGATCTGAGGATCTCAGTTCAAAGCCATCCCAGCAGGAAAGTCCCTGAGACTCTTATCTCCAATTAACTACCAGAAAACCAGAAGTAACACTGTAGCTGAAGTGGTAGAGGGCTAGCCTTGAGCTGAAGAGCTGAGGGACAGCGCCCAGGCCCAGAGTTCAGGCCCCATGACAACAACAACAACAAAAACAGACTAGATGCAAGGACAATAGACAATAGTCACAAACCAAATTGACATGTGGCCACCTTACAGAAGTGCTTAAATGTATGCCTCACACCGCTCACACCAGGCACCCTGTGAGCATCTCTATAGTTAATCTCAGAACCTTGAGACACCCCATAAAGGGCAAGTAGTCAGGGATCCTGCATCTCTCTGAGATTTTCCCAGGCTTCTCAGAACCATACCTGTAATCCTAGCTACTCAGAAGGCTGAGATCTGAGGATCACTGTTTGAAGCCATCATGGACAGGAAAGTTCATGGGATTCTTTTTTTTTTTTTTTTTTTTTTTTTGGCGGGGGGGGGGGGGGGGGGCGGTTTCCTGGTCATGGGGCCTGAACTCTGGGCCTGGGCGCTGTCCCTCAGCTCGTTAGCTCAAGGCTAGCACTCTACCACTTGAGCCACAGCACCACTTCCAGCTTTTTTCTTTTTGCTTATGTGGTGCTGAGGAATCGAACCCAGGGCCTCATGCATGCAAGGCAAGCACTGTACCACTGAGCCACCTTCCCAGCCCAGTTCATGGGATTCTTTTTTTTTTTTTTTGGGTCTGGTCTTAGGGCCTGAACTCTGGGCCTGGGCGCTGTCCCTCAGCTCTTCAGCTCAAGTGCTCTACCACTTGAGTCACAGCGTCACAACACCACTTCTGGCTTTTTCTGCTTATGTGGTGCTGAGGAATTGAACTCAGGGCCTCAGGCATGCAAGGCAAGCGCTCTACCACTGAGCCACCTTCCCAGCCCCATGTTCATGGGATTCTTTTTTTTTAATTTTTATGGTGGGGCGGGGGGGTCCAGTCATGGGCCTGAACTCTGGGCCTAGGCGCTGAACCTCAGCTCTTCAGCTCAAGGCTAGTGCTCTACCACTTGAGCCACAGCGCCACTTCCGGCTTTTTTCTTATGTGGTGCTGAGGAATGGAACCCAGGGCCTCATGCATGCAAGCCAAGCACTCTACCACTGAGCCACCTTCCCAGCCCCATGGGATTCTTATGTTCAGTTAACCACAAAAAAATTTGGAGGTGGAGCTGTGGCTCAAGTGGTAGAGCGCCAGCCTTGAGCAAAAAGAGCCAAGTGAGGAAGCCCTAATACTGGCACAAAGAGAAAAAATGTAATGCACCCTCTGACCAGCAGACTGCAGCCCAGGCCAGCAGAGAACTAGTGAATGTGCTGGTGATATTGAGTAGAAAATCGAGATTCAGAGAGGGGCTGGTTCTTGCCTGGGGTCACGCAGCCATCACTATCCAGGCCTCCTGACTCTTTCCCAGCACCATCTCCATTGAGTTGAGGTTCTGGGGATGACGGCTGGCACTTGTATGCCCACAGTAAACCCCATTTCTCGGTCTCCTGTAGCAACTCCATGGGAAGAACCTGGTGTTTAGTGATGGCTACGTGGTAAAGGAGACGATCGGTGTAGGCTCCTACTCTGTGTGCAAGCGCTGTGTCCACAAGGCCACCAACATGGAGTACGCTGTCAAGGTGGGCCCCCCGACCATGGCTTGGCAAAGCCTGTTGGGCCGTGGGTGAGGCTGATTAGTGTGGCCCTTTGGTGGGGAGGGCTGGGGCCCGAGGCTCTGTAGATGGTGAGAGGGATGTGTCTGAGACTCCCAGGGCCTGCAGTACGGGCTCTATGGCAGCAAAAGGACCTGGAGTCCCAGCGCTGCTCTGTGCACCCACTTTCTTCAGGTCATCGACAAGAGCAAGCGGGATCCTTCAGAAGAGATTGAGATTCTTCTGCGGTATGGGCAGCACCCCAACATCATCACCCTGAAAGATGTGAGTGGGCGGGTCCTGGAGACCAGGACCGAGGCAGGCTCCCAACTCTAGTCTCAAGCCATGTCTTTAACTTCTGAGTGCTTGAGTGGAGGAACGCCACCCTGGGTTCCCCCTGCCCTGGACACACCTTAGCTTCTCCCCTTCAGACTCAGGCCTTCTCTGAGAGCTCCTCTGCCTATGGGGGATCACGACAGCTCCCTTGTGCAGAAAGACAGGAGCCCGGTTGGGTGATGGCCCAGCCCAGGGCCACTAAAGCACAGAGCAGGAAATAGACCTGAGGCTCATGGGGAGGCTGGTTGGTAACTGAGGTCCAGGCCTGACAGCGAGGTTGCCGGCAGGTGTACGATGATGGCAAACACGTGTACCTGGTGACAGAACTGATGCGGGGCGGGGAGCTGCTAGACAAGATCCTGCGGCAGAAGTTCTTCTCGGAGCGGGAGGCCAGCTTCGTCCTGCACACCATCAGCAAGACTGTGGAGTATCTGCACTCACAGGGGGTAAGTCCAGGTTAGGAGAAGGGGCAGGATGTGCCCAAGGTCATGCCATCTGCCCCAAGGGAGAACTGTGAGCTGGCCCAGGTGCGGCAGTTTTCAGACAAGGAACATTCAGGGCAGGTGAGTGGGTAAAGGTAGATGGAGTGATGGTCGTGGAGGGAAGGAAGGGAAGGAGGAAGAAAAAGGTGATACAAACTAGAAAGGAGTGTTTATTCAGCGCCTACTGTGTGCCAGGTTTGTTTATTTAGTGCCAGTATTGGGGCTTGAACTCGGGGCCCTGGGAACTTTATATTTTTCCCCTCAAGGATGGTACTTTACCACTTGAGCCACAGCTCCACTTCTGGCTTTTTGCTGGTTAATTGGTGATAAGTCTTAGACTTTTCTGCTCAGGCAGGCACCTCAGCCTCTTGAGTAGCTAGATTATAGACATAAGTTACCAACACCTGGCCCATGCTTGGTCCTTACATTATCTAAATTGAGTTTCACATCAGCCCTGAGTTGGGTGCTGTGAGAAAGCCTACTTAATAAGTAAGAAGAGTAAAATGGGGGCTGGGAATGTGACTTAGTGGTAGAGTGCTTGCCTAGCCACTTCTGGTTTTCTCATGGTTAATTGGAGTGTTATGGACTTTTCTGCCACAGCTGTCTTCAAACCACGATCCTCAGATCTTAGTCTCCTGAGTAGCTAAAATAACAGGTATGAGCCACTGGCGCCCAGCCACAAATGTATTTTTATAACTGATTTTTTTTTTTTTTTTTTGCCAGTCCTAGAGCTTGAACTCTCAGGGCCTACCACTGTCCCTGAGCTTCTTTTGCTCGAGGCTAGCACTCTACCACTTGAGCCAGTGCCACTTCTTTTTTTGTTTATGTGGAGGAATTTTGTATCCACAATTTTTTTGGGGGGGGTCCAGTCGCGGGGCTTGTACTCTGGGCCTGGGTACTGTCCCTCAGCTCTTCAGCTCAAGGCTAGTGCTCTACCACTTGAGCCACAGTGCCACTTCCGGCTTTTTTCTTTTTGCTTATGTGGTGCTGAGGAATCGAACCCAGGGCCTCAGGCATGCAAGGCAAGCGCTCTACCACTGAGCCACCTTCCCAGCCCTATGTGGAAGAATTTTGTTTATGAGGAATTGAACCCAGAGCTTCATGAATGCTAAGCAGGCACTCTACCAATAAGCCACATTTCCAGTCTCTATAGCTGATTTATTACAATCATAATCTCTGCAAAGTCCACACATTTATTTCATCCGTTATTATGTCTCAGAGGTTTTTGTTGTTGTTGTTCTTCAGACAGAATCGTGCTATGTTTCTCAGGCTGGTCTTGAACTTCCAGATTCATGTGATCCTCCTCCTTCAGCCTCCTGAGTATCTAAGACTGCCTTATGCCTGGCTTAATTAGGTCTGTGGTGGTAGTAGTGGTTTTGGGAGGTGGCAGGTTCTTAACTATGTAGCTCAGGTTGGCCTGGAACTCACTGTGTAGTCCAGGCTGGCCTCAACCTCATGATCCTTCTCTCTCTACCTCCCAAGCGCTGGGGTGCATAGGGGTGTTCTACCACACACAGCCTTTTCTTTTTAACCTGAAGTAGAATTTGCATAGAAATGTTCTGTATACACCCATGTCACCTCCACAGTGAGCCCCTCTGCCTTGGGGAAGAGGTCACGTATTCTGTGGAATGTCCCACATTCTGAGTTTGTCTCTATATTTCCAGGCAACATGATTTGCATTCTTTTCTTTTCTTTTTTTTTTTTTTTTGGGTCCGGTCGTGGGGTCTGAACTCTGGGCCTGGGCGCTGTCCCTCAGCTCTTCAGCTCAAGGCTAGCGCTCTACCACTTGAGCCACAGTGCCACTTCCGGCTTTTTTCTTTTTGCTTATGTGGTGCTGAGGAATCGAACCCAGGGCCTCAGGCATGCAAGGCAAGCGCTCTACCACTGAGCCACCTTCCCAGGCTGATTTGCATTATTTTCATTGCCCCTATTTCCTGTAAAGTGCAAGGTGCTCTAAAGTCTTTGTTAGATTCAGCTTCAAATTTGTCCTTATCTTTTCTATAGAGGACTGAGGAAGACTCTAGAAAAAGGGCTCATTGGCTGGGTGTTAGTGGCTCACATCTGTAACTCTACCTACTCAGAAGACAGATCTGAGGATCAAGGTTTGAAGCCAGTCCTAGCAAGCTTCAAATTCTTATTTCCAATTAACTAGCAAAAAGCTGTTAGTGGAGCACCTGGCTCAAGTGGTAGAGCTCCTCCCCTGAGCAAAAAAGCTGAAAGACAGTGCCCAGGCTCTGACTTTAAGCCCTAGTATACCAGCACAAAGAGGAGCTGGGGACCGGGGAAGGGGGAGGGGGGAGGTCAGCTCATTGTGACCTGTCTGACCACTGGCACCTTATTTGGCGTATTGATGGGGCGGGGGTGGGGAAATCATGATATCATTCCTGGTCCACAGCGGAGGCAGCTTCTCTCCCAGATGTAGAGTTCATGCACTTGTGGGATCTTAAAGTATTTACTTAGAGAAATTAGATCTCTGATTTGTACTTATACAGTAGCTCTACTTTTGCACAACCAATAGTTGTAATTATGTTCAGTGTTGGGCATTCTGCTACTAAACAATAAAAGAGGATAGGACAAAACAAAGAAAAAGGAAAGAAAAAAGAAAATGTCAAGTTCCTCCATCCACGATGCCCTTTCATCCTGCCTCACATCTGCAGTCCCTGCGTCCTGTTCTGCATTAGTCCCATTAGATGGTACCAGGCCCCTCTCCTTATTTATTTTATTTTCATTTTTTTGTCAGTTGTGGGGCTTGAACTCTGGGTCTGGGCACTGTCGCTGAGCTCTTCAGCTCAAGGCAAGCACTCCATTATTTGAGTCATAGTGCCGTCTCCTTATTTTTTTTTTTTTTGGTCGGTTGTGGGGCTTGAACTCTGGGCCTGGGTGCTGTCCCTCAGCTCTTCAGCTCAAGGCGAGCGCTCTACCACTTGAGCTACAGCGCCACTTCCGGTTTTCTGGTGGTTTATTGGAGATAGGAGTCTCACGGTCTCTCCTGCCCGGGCTGGCTTTGAACCGCAATCCTCAGATCTCAGCCTCCTGAGTAGCTAGGATTACAGGCGTGAGCCACCAGCGCCGGGCTTTTGAAGACTCTTATCTAGCTGGGTACTGTGCTCATGCCTATAATCCTAGCTACTCAGGTGGCTGAAATCTGAGAATTGTGGTTCAAAGCCAGCCAGGAAAGAAAAAATCCATGAGACTCTTATCTCTGATAAGCCATCAAAAAGCCAGAAGTGGAACTGTGCCTTAAATGATAGACTCCAGCCTTGAATGAAAAATCCAAGCACGAGCATAAGGCCCTAAATTCAAGCTCCAGTACTAGTACATACACAAAAAGACCTTCATCTAATAATTTCATCCTGTCAGGATCTTGTACTCAATTATTTTATTAGAGGCAATGTCTGATTTCATCTAATTTATTAGGGATTATTCTTTTATTAAGAAGAACTTTACCCCTTAGCTGAAGGTTCACTTTGGTTACCACATGTGTTTTTAATGGTCATGTTTCAAGTGCCTTAGGTTTCTGAAGTGGCCAATGCAAACAGACTAATATTTAAACATGTCAGATCAGAGAGCAAATGTGTTTCCTTTTCCTGTTTTGTTCTCAAGTGAGTACTAGTTAAAGTTAACTCCTAAGGGATGTGACGTCATACCAGAACATTTGTCCAGTATCTGAAAGGTGCTGGGGTCCATCCCTAATACTGGGGAAAAAAAAAAGAGCCAGGCATGGTGGGGGACACCTATAATCCCAGTCCTAATGAGACTGAAGTAGAGCCAGGCAATGGTGGCTCACTCACATCTGTAATCCTAGCTAATCAGGAAGTTGAGATCTGAGGATCACAGCTCAAAGCCAGCTGGGAAGGAACCTCTGTGAGACTCTTCAATAAACCACCAGAAAACCGGAAGTGGCACTGTGACTCAAGTGGTAGAGCACTAGCCTTGAGCTGAAGAGCTCAGCAACAGTGCCCAGACCCAGAGTTCAAGCCCCACAACCGAGAAGACACAGCAGAGTTACTGAGTTACCCAAGGCTTAGAGTAAGGAAGAACTTTCTAGAATAGGGAACTCTCTGCAAAAGTAGTGAGCCCCTCCACAAGGTTGTACAAGCTCAGATGCAGACAGCCACTTGAAGAAAGCCATAGTTCATACATCACTAATCTTTCTGGTTCTTTCCAAATATCAGGGTCAGTGAGGAGGACATGGGAGTTGCTTGTGGAGGCATGTGGAAGGATTCTCTGGGCTTTTATTTGTGGCACATAGCTATTGTCTATAACCTAGGGATCCAGTAGAAGCTAAGGGCCAGATCCATTGGTCACCCCATTTGTTTCAGTAACATCACAGAATTGGCTTTTAGATCACTAAGTGCAGTGTTTCCAGTACCCCAAATTTCTTCTGTCAGGAGAGCCATTAGAAGCTTTTCCCCTTTCTCTTTTTTTTTTTTTTGCGGGGTAGGGGAGTGTGGGGGGGTAGTTGTAGGGCTTGAACTCAGGGCCTGGGTGCTTTTCCCTGAGCTCTTTTGCTCAGGGCTAATGCTCTATCACTTTGAGCTACAGCTCCACTTACAGTATTTTGGTGGTTAATTGGAGATAAGAGTCTAACAGGGGCTGGGAATGTGGCTTATTGGTAGAGTGTTTGCTTAGCATGCATGAAGCCCTGGGTTTGATTCCTCAGTACCACATAAACAGAAAAAGCCGGAAGTGGCACTGTGGCTCAAGTGGTAGAGTGCTAGCTTTGAGCAAAAGAAGCTCAGTGTCAGCACCCAGGCCCTGAGTTCAAGCCCCAGGAAAGAAAGAAAGCAAGCTTATAGACTTTCCTGCCTGGGCTGACTTTGAATTGCAATCCTCAGATCTTAGCTTCCTGAATAGTTAAGATTACAGGCATAAGCCACTAGCACCTTGGTCCTTTTTTTCTTTTAGTAATTTTTTAAATAGGCTTTAATGGGTGTGTGTGTGTGTGTGTGTGTGTGTATGTGTGTGTGTGTGTGTGTGTGTGTGTGTGTGTGTGTGTGTGTGTGTACTGGGTCTTGCTTGAGATTTCACTTATTTTTTTGCTCAAGGCTGGTGCTCTACCATTTGAGTCACAGCTTCACAGCTCCACTTTTGGCTTTTTGGTGGTTAATTGGAGATGAGTTTCATGGACTTTTCTGCCTGGGTTGGCATTGAACCATGATCCTCAGATCTCAGCCTTCTGTGTAGCTAGGACTACAGATGTGAGTCACTAGAGCTGGGCTGGTTACTGTATCTCAACATGCAGTGCTGCCCGGGGTTCAGCCCAGGCAGTTGCTGAGACGAGTTGCTACTTCCCAAGCCCTGTGCTGAGTATGTCTGTTCTTGCCTAAACCCTGGGCGTTAAGCACAGTTATGAGCCCCTTTTCCAGGTAAGAAGACAGAGGCTTGGAAAGTCATAAGCCAGGCTCACACTCTAGTCTGGTCTTCTGTGGCTGACGTCATAGCTGAGTCAGAGGGCACAGCTTGGTGTGTCTGGTTGCTTTTGGCCTGAACACCTATTTTGTTTGGCCTGTGAGAGGTGGGGTGTTTTTGTCATGTTGAGTTTAGTTTAATAAAGGTTTGGTGATTTGGTGTTTGTAAAACACCAGGCCTAAGTTGCAGCCTCGTAGCTGTCACCAAGGAGCTATTGCCCCTTTTAGATTGTTCCCACCCAGCCTGACTTCACTCTCAGGTGGCCAGCCTGTTGTAACTTTCCGCTCAGTGAGTGTGGCAGGTGTGACATCACATCCCCATAAACACAGCTGCGGGTCAGGCAGCACCCGCACCTGTGCAGCTTTCCTAAGCGGCATCCCTCGCCCATCTCAGGGGTCACGGTTCCCTTCGTCATTAGTCATTTCTCGATGCAGCGTAAGATTGCCACCTTCTCTAGCCTTGCTTCCTGCAAGTGTCATCTGTGCCTCAGCAAAGTAGAAAGAATTATTATTCTTATAATTTGATACATTGTATATTTAGTGTATAATAATATCTACTCAGTAATAAGCATTTCCATATTAATCGTTATGGAATTATAAGCAGTATAAATCCTTTTTTTTCTTTTTTCTTGGTTGGTCATGGGGCTTGAACTCGGGGCCTGTGCCTGACCCTGAGCTCTTTTCTTCAAGGTTAGCACTCTACTACTTTAGCCACAGTGACACTTCTGGTTTTCTGGTGGTTAATTGGAGATAAGAATCTCATGGGGGCTGGGAAGGTGGCTCAGTGGTAGAGTGCTTGCCTTGCATGCATGAGGCCCTGGGTTCAATTCCTCAGCACCACAAAAGCAGAAAAAAACAAAAAACCAACACCAAGGTTGATAATCATTAAATGTTTCAAATTTAAAAAAAAAAAAAAAAGAGTTTCATGGACTTTTCTGTCTAGGCTGGCTTTGGAATAGGATCCTCAGATCTCAGCCTCTTGAGTAGCTAGGATCACAGGCGTGAGTCACTAGTGCCCAGTTTAATCATTTTTATGTGTTGGGAATTTCTTACCTTTCTAGTCATTTTTAGAATATAGTGTTATCCAGGATTACAGGCATGAGCCTCTGGGGCCCAGCCTCTCATAGATTGTGTTTAACCAGTGATTATCCTACTGTAGGAAAAAAAAAACCTGAACTAATTCATCCTCCCTAACTGGGCTTTGGTGTCCCTAACTGAATCTTCCCTTCTTAGTCCCCACTTTTTTTTTCTTTCTTTTTGAGATGGAGTTACACTTACTGCCCAGGCTGGCCTTGGAACTTCTGGGCTCAAGTGATCCTCCTGCCAAAGCCTCCAAAGTAGCTGGGACTGTAGGTGCATTCTAACCACCACACCTCACGAGGACTTTCCTCTGAAGAGTGGAAACCGTGGGGGTTTTTAAGCTTGGACAGTATGGCCCGATTTCTAACAGGCTTGCTCTAGCATCTGTTGAGACAAGCTATTGGAGGTAGGAGGGGAAGTAGGAAGACTAATGAGGATAATGGGGACTCAAGAGTTATTGGACTCTGAATATACTTTAATAGTACACCAATGGAGTTTATTGATAGATTGAGGAAAATGAGAATAAGAAAACAGGCCATACTCCAATGGCTTATGCCTGTAATCCTAGCTACTCAGGCTGAGATCTGAGAATCATAGTTTAAAGCCAGCCCAGGCAGGAAAGTCTGTGAGACTTTATCTCCAATTAACCAGTAAAAAAAGCTAGAAGTGGAGGTTGTGATTCAAGTGGTAGAGCACCAGCCTTGAGTAGGAAAGGACAGTGCCCAGGCCCTGAGTTCAAGCCCCAGGTCTGGCATGAGGGGGGAGGGGTGTGGGAGAGAGAAAGAGAGAATATGGAAAAATAGACCTAAGAAGGATGGAGTTACCTTAGATGAGATTTCACATGACTAGACTGAAGGGAGAAACTAGGAGTTCAGTGTTGGGCAGATTGAGTTAGAGCTACTTAGTAGACACCTACATGGAGATTTCTAGAAGGCTCTATTCGCAGTTGCCTAGCCCCCATTTAGCCCTTTCTCCTCTGGGATCCCAGGGCTTTCCTCCTCTCTGGGCTTGTCTGTGTAACTTTCTCATCCCTGACGGTTAGTGGACCTGGCTCCAGCCCCCTTGTCACAGCCTGACCCCAGTTCTCTGGTCCTAGGTTGTCCACAGGGACCTCAAGCCCAGCAACATCCTATACGTGGACGAGTCTGGGAACCCCGAGTGCCTGCGCATCTGTGACTTCGGCTTCGCCAAGCAGCTGCGGGCTGAGAACGGGCTCCTCATGACGCCTTGCTACACAGCCAACTTCGTGGCACCGGAGGTGAGTGGGGGCGACAGGAAGACTTAGTTCCACTCCCAGGGGTCCCACACTATTCAGGACTGCCGAGTCTGGATGCTTGACCCGGATGCCCAGGAAAGATCTCCCCCATGGTGGAGACTCAGCTACTCCTTCCCTTGGGGTGCGGGGGCAGTATGCAGCCCCTTTTGTTGTGTCTCAGAGTGAACACGCTCCCCCCGCTTTCCTGTCAGGTGCTGAAACGCCAGGGCTACGATGAGGGCTGTGACATCTGGAGCCTGGGCATCCTACTGTATACCATGCTGGCCGGGTGAGTTCCCAGCCCGGGCCGCTGCTGTCCCTTCCTCCGGCCCTAGTGATCACCTTAGCAGGCTTGCGTTCAAGGAGGTAAAAGCAGAAGTGAGGAGACGGGGCTGGTGCTTGCCTGATGGCAGAGACTCAGCCCCGCCCTAGGACATGGCCCTGCTACCACCTCTCCTTGGCTCATGATGGAGGCCAAGACTATATTGATGGTATGGGTTTGTTTTTTGTTTGTTTCTCCAGATACACTCCATTTGCCAATGGGCCCAGCGATACACCGGAGGAGATCCTGACCCGAATCGGCAGTGGGAAGTTCACTCTCAGTGGGGGGAATTGGAACACAGTTTCGGAAACAGCCAAGGTGAGTCCTGCAGGAGTGGGCCAAGGTCTCTACATTTCCCAAACATTTCTGGCCAGTGGAATATTCCACAAATCCTTCTCTACAAATCCCTCTCATTTGTCTGGGTAGCTTGGCGATCATTCCACCGGCTTTGTGAGAGACAGTCTCCTACTCTGTGGAGACAGTGTGGTGGGAGATACAGGCCTGTGCACAGAGGCCCACAGAGCACCTGCTCATACCTGCACAGCCCCTCTGGAAGGAGATAGCATTTGAGTTTTTTATATTGGCAACAGCTTCAGTTCCTGGGAGCCTCTAAGCCAGACCTGGAACCCATGAGGCAGGTGCTGTTAGCTCCGTTTCTCAGAGAGGAAACAGAGCTCAGAGAATTGAAGTCACTGCTGTTGATGAATGGACTCGGGTTTGAACCTAAGTCTGCCTGACTCCCAGCCCCAAGGCCTTGCCCACCATTTTCCCACATGGCTTTCTGAAGGAGAAACAGGAAGGGCAGCCGGAAGTACCTGAAGCACCCAAGGCCCACATTGGGCCATGCCTGGGTTGGGTCTGGGGTGGCCTTGGCTGAGTCGGACATGGATTACAGGGGCCAGGGGAAAGGTTCAGACCCCTGTGTCCCACGGCTACCGTGCTGCCCTTCCCCTCACTCCCTTGCCCACTATACCTCCAGGACTTGGTGTCTAAGATGCTCCACGTAGACCCTCACCAGCGCCTCACAGCCAAGCAGGTCCTGCAGCACCCGTGGATCACCCAGAAAGATAAGCTTCCCCAGAGCCAGCTGTCCCATCAGGACCTGCAGCTTGTGAAGGTGGGCACAGGAAGGTGGGAGGGGCAAGCTCAGATAGTGTGGGCGGGACTTGGGGTGGCAGAGCAGAAGATGCTATGACTGGAACAGGACCCAGGAGGTAAGTAAAGGACAGAAACCAGCCGGGCAGGGGCTGGGAAGGTGGCTCAGCGGTATAGTGCATGCCTTGCAAGCATGAGGCCGTGGGTTCGATTCCTCAGCACCACATAAACAGAAAAAGCTGGAAGTGGTGCTGTGGCTCCAGTGGTAGAGCGCTAGCCTTGAGCTGAAGAGCTGAGGGACAGCACCTAGACCCAGAGTTCAGGCCGCATGACCGGCAAAAAAAAAACAAACCAGCTGGGCACTGGTGGCTCACGCCTGTAATCCTAGCTACTCAAGAGGCTGAGATCTGAGGATCGCAGTTCAAAGCCAGCCCGGGCAGGAAAGTCCATGAGACTCTTATCTCCACTAAACCATTCAGAAAACTGGAAGTGGTGCTGTGGCTCAAGAGGTAGAGCGCTTGTCTTGAGCTGAAGAGCGCAGGGACAGTGCTCAGGCTCAGGGTTCAAGCCCCACGACCAACAACAACAACAAAAAAAGGACAGAAACCATAGTCCTGGCCTCAGGGAGCCCCAGAGGAACGGATGGCAGCATCACGGGGCTCCCTGAGTCCCCTGGTAGACACAGCTGCTCACCTCTGGAGACTCCAGTCTAATGGGGAGGCAGAAGCAGGAACTGAAGGTTGTGGGAGGTTGCACACAGGGCTGGGACCCCTCTACACGATTGTGCTCAGACCTCTGTCTTCTCTCTCAGGGAGCCATGGCCGCTACATACTCTGCACTTAACAGCTCCAAACCCACCCCCCAGCTAAAGCCCATCGAGTCATCGATCCTGGCCCAGCGGCGGGTGAGGAAGCTGCCATCTACCACCCTGTGAGGCCACAGGGCAGTGCTAACTCCACGGAGGCAGCGTCTTTCCCAGAAGGGGCAAGCCTGAGTCCCAGGGCCAAAGTGAGCAGGAGCCCTGAGGGGCCCCGGGAAGCAGCCAGCCCAGATCACCCCAGTGAGGGTGTGAAGTGCCTTCTCCTTCCCCAAGACGGACTCTTCCTGGCTCAGGCGCTGCGGGATGACAGTCACTGTACAAACTCCTTTTTTTTTTTTTTTAAGGGAAAAAAAATGGCATCAACCACCAATGGATTATTACAAGATCCATTTGCCTTTCTGGGAGCACAAATAGCCAATGCAACCACAGGAGGGACACTGAGTCACCCTGGGGCTCTCTATGGCTAAGACTCCTTCTAGCAGCTTTGAGGCCCTGCTCTGGGAACCCCCACAGTTGGGCCTCAGGAGCCATCGGCACACACCTCCAGTCAGCGCAGCGTCGCCTTGCAGGGCCATGGGCTGTTTAGCAGGCCTCAACTCTGTTCCCCAGCCAGCTCCTTTTCCGTTCTGTTCCACTGAGGGTCTAGAACCACTTTCTGCTAGAGCAGAGGACCCTGCTCCTTCCGGCTCCCCGCTCCAAGCACCAGCATTCACGTCGCCCACCAGTGGGCCCCTGCAGGCGGCCCAGAGAGGTGGACACCCACAGCACTTTCTGGCGGACTTGGGTCGTGTCCGCCACCCAACAGTTCACACACCAGGGGGACAGGTCACCAGGGGCAGAGGCTGTTTGCATTTCTTCCTCAGCTGGAAACTCAGGGTTCATCTGTCCATGGCCTTTCTAATAAACTTACAGCCGAATCGAAGCACACTCGTCTCTACTTGTACAAACGCTCTTGAATTTGCTTGCTCTCTGCTACCGGGTGGAGAGGACTTGGACAGCCACAAAAAGTGGGTCTGGGCCAATTAGCCCAGCTGCTGGAGAGCGTGCGGGAATCCCTCTGGCCCTACCCATTCCTTCCTGCCAGGGCATTCCTTTATGGTATTGATGACAGTAATGACAAGTGCCAGGACTATGCCTGTGCCCCATACGGACCTTATTTAATTTTTTGTAGTGCTGAGAAGCCAATTGAAGGCTTCACCTGTGTAGCTCTACAACTGAGCTCCACCCTAGACACCTATCTCATTGTATTTACTTATGTTTGTGCCATGCTGGGGCTAGAACTGAGGGCCTTGGCAGTGTACATTAATAGTTGTTTTTTGCTTAAGGGAGGGTACTACTTTGAGCCATAGCTCCATTTCTGGCTTTTTGCTGGTTAATCAAAGTGTCTTATGGACTTTTCCGCCTGGGCTGTCTTCTAACCATGATCCTCAGATCTCAGCCTCCTGAGTAGCTAGGATTACAGGCGTGAGCCACCACCAATACCTGGACTCTGTCTCATTTAATCTTGAACAGTTTTATGAGATAGTCACTACTATGTTGTAATCTCCATCATATGGATGGAGAAATAGGCTCAGAGAGGGAGGGGAATGATGTATTCCCAGGCAAGAAATACCTTCTAAACACCTGGCCAAGCCCTGGTCAGACACTGGTGATCTGGGTAGAAAACAAGGTCATGGCTCTTAGCTCTTTGTAAAGGAAATAGAAAATTAACAAACTATATATAAGACGTTAGCAGAGTTGGGTTGGGAAAGACCACTCTGGGGAGGAATCGCCCAAAAGCTAAGACTGAATGGTGAGAAGGAGCCAGCCAAGAGCAGAAGGTAGAGGCAGGATTAGGACAAAGACCGTGAAAGGGGAGTAGACAGGACGTACTCAAGGACCAGAGTGAAGGCTGAGACTGCTGTGACCTCTCACCCAGGGTTTGCCCAGGAAGAGGGTGGAAAGGAGGCAGAATCCAGTCATGTTGGACTAATGCAAGCTAGGATTAAAGGGCTATGCACATAGTTCAGTGGTAAAGCATGTGCCTTGCACGCTGGAGGCCCTGGGTTCAATCTCTAACACCATTTTTGTTGTTGTTATTGTCATTTGTGGAGCTTGTCAGGGCCCGAGCACTCTACCTGAGCCGTTTCTGTTGGTGTGGTAGTGAGCATGGTGCTTGGATTCTGGGCCTGAACACTCCCTGAGCTCTTTTTTGCTCAAAGCTAGTGCTCTACCACTTGGAGCCACAGCACCACTTCCATTTTCCAGTGGTTAACTGGAGATAAAAGGCCCAGGGACTTTCCTGTGTAGGCTGCCTTTGAACCATGATCCTTAGATCTCTTAGTACCTAGGATTATAGGCGTGAGCCACATTGCCCAGCTGTATTTTGTTTTTTGAGACACTGAATTATCTAGCTTGCTATGTAGTCTAGACTGGCCTCAAATTTGAAATCCTGCCTTATCCTCTCAAGTATAGGGACTCTAGGCATGCACCATCGTGGCCAGTGAAGAGGAAGTGAATATGTTCCACAACTGAACTGCATCCCTGATTTGATTTATATTATTAACAGATTACTGACTGCTACATAGAGTATTGACAGCAGGCACAGTGTGACCGGGTCAGTGGTTGGCTTAGATGGTGGAGGTTGTGATCAGAGTAGGGTATGCTATGAAGGTGACAGCACTTACTGGCAGTTTGGATGTAAAAGAGAAGAGAAAGGGGCTGGGAAAGTGGCTCAGGGCCTCATACGGGTTCGATTCCTCAGCACTACGTAAGCAGAAAATGCCGAAAGTGGCACTGTGGCTCAAGTAGTAGAGTGCTAGCCTTGAGCTGAAGAGCTGAGGAACAGCACCCAGGCCCAGAGTTTAGGTCCTACGACCAGCAGGAAAAAAGAGAGAGCGAGCGCTGGTGGCTCATGCCTGTAATCTTAGCTATTCAGGAGGCTGAGATCTGAGGATCACAGTTCAAAGCCAGCCCAGGCAGGAAACTCCGTGAGACTCCAATTAACCACCAGAAAACCAGAAGTGGCACTGTAGCTCAAGTGGTAGAGCGCTTACCTTGAGCTGAAGAGCTGAGGGACAGTGTCCAGGCCGGAGTTCCAGCCCCACAACTGACAAAAAAAAAAGAAGAAAAAAATGTGAATCATGGATCTCCTCCAGATTTGGCTGGGAGAAGTTAGGGAAGTGCTGGTCTGGGTGCTAAGCAGAGAAGAATCAACCTGTCTGGGCCCAGGTACAAACAGCCTTGATGGAGAAGCAGAGGAGGCACTGGCAAAGGCAACCAAGAGATGAAGCAGCAAACTTGGGCCTCCAGGCTGACAAGATTCAAAGCTGTAGGAAAGCAGGGCTCTGTGCCCATTGGCGCTCAGCTCACCACTTTACAGCTGAGAAAGCCAGGGCCTCAGAGGAGATGAAGTCCTGTGGTGGGGAGAGACACAGCAGCTCAGGCTCTGGTGCTGGCCAGGAGCTCAGCGGTTTCCTGAAGTACATACAGGGAGGGTTGTGTTGGGGTCCCAAGGGTTCAGGAGCTCTCCTGAACACCTGGTAATGTGTGCTACTGAGACCCTAGCCCACCCCTATATGCCTCAGGCTCAGTTTGTCTATCTGTAGAGTGAAACCCACATTTCCTGTTCTAACACTTTCCAAGCTTATCCTCTGTGGGACCTACATGCCAGCCCGAATTTCAAACCTGGTTCCTTCCATTCTGTATCCTGATCCCATCAATTCTCTTTACTATGTATTTTGTTTATGTTGCTTTCTTCTTTCTTTCTTTCTTTCTCTTTCGTTCTTTCTTTCTTCTTTCTGTCTTTCTTTCTTTTCAGTCGTGGGGCTTGAACCCCGGGCCTGGCTGTTGTCCCTCAGCTCTTCAGCTCAGAGCTAGAGCTCTACACTTGAGCCACAGCACCACTTATGGTTTTTCTGGTGGTTTATTGAAGAGAAGAGTCTCACGGACTTTCCTATCCTGGCTGGCTTTGAACTGCGATCCTCAGATCTCAGCCTCCTTAGTAGCTAGGATTAAGGCATGAACCACCAGCCCAGCTTGTTTTCTTTTTCTTTTTTCCTTCCTTCCTTCCTTCCTTCCTTCCTTCCTTCCTTCCTTCCTTCCTTTCTTCCTTTCTCTCTCTCTCTCTCTCTCTCTCTCTCTCTTTCGTTCGTTCTTTCTTTTTGTTGGTCATGGGGCTTGAACTCAAGGCCTGGGCACTGTCCCTGAGCCTCTTTGTGCTTAAGACTAGTGCTTTACCACTGAGTCACAGCTCTGCTTTTGGTTTTTTGAATGGTTAATTAGAGATAAGAGTCTCACAGGAACTTTTCTGCTTGGGCATCTTTGAACTGAAATCCTCAGATCTCAGACTCCTGAGAAGTTAGGATTACAGGCATGAACCACCGATGCTCGGCTTGTTTCATTTCTTTGTGCTGGGACTAGAATTTTAATTCAAAGCTTCACAACTCTGCTTGTTTTTTTTGGGGGGGGGAAAGGAGGGGTTGCTCAATGCTGGCACTCTACCACTTGAACCATGACTCCACTTTCTGTTTTCTATGTATTTAGGGTATCCATCACTACCTCTCCATTCTCCCTCTCTCCCCTCTTCATATTTTTGTTCTTTTTTTTTTTGTCGGTCGTGGGGCTTGAACTCTGGGCCTGGGCGCTGTCCCTCAGCTCTTCAGCTCAAGGCGAGCGCTCTACCACTTGAGCTACAGCGCCACTTCCGATTTTCTGGTGGTTTATTGGAGATAGGAGTCTCACGGTCTCTCCTGCCCGGGCTGGCTTTGAACTGTGATCCTCAGATCTCAGCCTCCTGAGTAGCTAGGATTACAGGCGTGAGCCACCAGCTCCCGGCTTATATTTTCGTTCTTTTAAATAATCTGCCGATGCTTATAGTATTTGTGTCCCTCAACATTCTCTCTTTAAGACCACAAATCTAAACCATCTAAACAATCCCCTGACATGACCCATCGCTGTCCACAAAATACTGAGGTACCCAGCCTGCTCTCTATGTCCTTTGTCACCTGCTGAGCCTCCACTGTTAGCGCTTCTATCTGTCCCTAAATGGCTCACAAGACCTGAACCTGCCATGTTCCTTCCGCTGCTGGAGTCCCTGCCACATGACCTGGCTAACAGCTACTCTTCCCTACGGAGAATTCTAATGACACCTCTAAGAAGCCCACTTGGATAGCTCAGGCTGTTTTGGTGACATGTTCTATCTCCCTGCAGGCCATGTTCTTTTGGAAGTAACTAAGGATGTTTTCTCCCCACCAGACTTCAAACCCAAGGACATGGGCTGGGCTTTGCTCACTCCAGAGGCCCTGCACCTGGAACACAGCATCCTGTTCCTCAGCTAGTCGTTATTGAATGAACGTGAAAGAGAATGCACTGTGCACCAAGCGCTGGTGGCTCACACCTGAGATCCTAGTTACTTAGAACTGAGATATGAGGATCGCTGTTCAAAGCTAACCCAGGAAGAAAAGGCTATAAAATACTTATCTCCCATTAATCACCAAAAAGCCAGAAGGAAAGATAAGGCTCAAAAGGTAGAGCATCAACCTTTAGTGAAAAAGACAAGAGCTGGGTGCCAGTGGCTCAGGCCTGTAATCCTGGCTACTCAGGAGGCTGAGATTTATTGTGGTTGGAAACCAGTCCAGGCAGGAAAGTCTGTGAGATTCTTCTCTGTAGTTAATCACAAGAAAACTGGAAATAGTGCTGTGACTCAAATCGTAGAGTACTAGCCTTGAGTGAAAAGTTCTGGGATAGCACCCAGGCCCTGAGTTCAAGCCCCACAACTGACAAAAAACAAACACTAGGCCCTGAATACAAGCCTCAGTTCTAGCTATGAAAGACCAATTCACAACAGTGCTAAGGGAAGCACAGCAGTCAAACCTAACCCAAGTACTAGAATGCCCCAGGCTTCAGTTCCTTGCCTACTAAGTGGAGATTACCACTGATTATCCCATGGCATT